TATATTGGGCTAATATTCCATTTACCCTAAATGAATACCTTGATTTATCAAGCCTATTGAAAGGGTTGGTTTAAATTTATTGTACAATGAGGTGTCACCTTATCTTAGAAGCCACTATTTGCAAAGAGCCTCGTGATTCCTTGGGTCGACTATTAAACACCTCTTTTCCAAACTCCATGTTTGGATAGGATAAAAAAGTTGTGTCATGGTATTTGACTAAAGCAAGCTAAGAATTTTTCACAAAATTGTTTTTTGTCAGCTGCTTCCTCAAAGATTTGAGCAGATCTTAAATTTATAACAGATTTCTTTTAATTAAAGGAAAGGAATATTTGAGCTGAGTTTAACAGACACTGCGCTCCTTTTCTTAAGGAAAATCTTGACCTTGCATAATGAGAGAAAATGAATTTGCCGCTAAAAGCTAGTAATTTTTTTTTTGAAAATTGTTCAAACGACTAAAAACTAAAATTTCATGCCCAGTCCTTGGAAAATGCTCACCCAGGTACAAAGTAATACATCTGAATGGTTCAAATGAAATTGGTAAAGGGTCGTATTTAATTGAAGGTGGAGCAACCTTTTCTCTCTCTGAATTGACGAAGTGAATAATTTTTTAAATTATTCGAACTTCGAAGCATGCAAGCATTATTATACTTACTACTATTGACAATTGTGATTGCTATTAATCATAAGTGACGTGACAGGTACCTGGCTCTTGTAGCTGCTCTTACGAGTGAGGCAGACTTTGTCTTCATCCCTGAATGGCCCCCCGAGCGGGATTGGGCAAACAAGATGTGTAAGAAGCTGTTACAGGCAAGACAATATTTTCAACTTTCCCTTTTCCTAATCTCAGATAATGTCAAATAAGTGCTTCGTATTCTTTTAATTTGATTTTCTTTTCCAAAGTTTCTCTCTGAAGGAAAACTGTCTCATTTCACCTGTCTCGACCTTCCAGTTCATTCTTGGTTTGAATTGTTATTTGACTTTATCTTTTCTCCATATCTAAGCTGTTATCATTGCAGCAAGAACTTCTTTCCCCTTCTTTGGAGTCTTCATGTAAGTGTAAATAAAGATAGGGTGACAAGTTCTCGATGTCAGGGAAAATTTTAAAAAATGTAGTAAATTTCAAAAATTTTTTACTTTATTAAACAAAAATTTCAGCTGTGAGGAAATTCCACCATCCAACGTTAAACTTTCTTTTTCTGTCAAAATTTTAATTTGGCTTGAATGGACCACTAGACAGGGTCTGAACCAGAAATTAACGTCACACAAATTCTCTTCAAAATCTCACATAGGAAACGAATCACACAAGGGGAATTTAGGAAATCAACTCCTAAACGAGACTTTAGCAAATGTTTTTAACACAGATCAAATGGAAGTTACATTATACAAATGACATCCTTTGTATTTTTACCATTTAACCAATGTCAATTGTTGTGAACACTAATATTTTGTTTAGGAGTTAATTTTCAGACTTCCTGTCGTGTGGTTCGTTTTCGTCGTGAAATTTTGAAGCGCCATTGACATTTATTGCTCAACTTTTGTACTAAGTATAACTTAGGTAGAGAATTTCAATTGTAAACGTTCTAAAAAGTGCAGAAATCTTTGGTTGAAATATCCTTAAAAATCAAGAAATTTTAAAATCAAAGCAAACTTGTCACCATTAAAGAAGAATGAATATGGTCTTAATTCTGAAACAGAGCGCAGGCTTTTTCGTGCGTTATTTCTCCAAACATGAGATACCACTACTGTCAGCAGATTATTAGTCAGCCCTTTCTTTCTCATTAGGAGTCCTTTAATGAGCCACTCATTCCGTTAAATCCGAGAGAAATCTTTATTTTTCTGCACTCGTTTTTTCTGCAAGTTAGGTCTCCTGTAATTCTTCAAGCAAATCTTAAGGCTTTGTTAGTGCAATGCTGTAACTTCTGTGTGTTGCGGTTGAGTGCCTTTGGTGTTTTGTGAGGGAAATTTCTGTATTTGAAGTGCATGGAATGATAATACTGATTGTAACTGCATGGCATTTCTACTACATAGTTTCGTTTCATGAATGCTTTTATGAAGAACAGTTGAGAGAAGAACTTCTTTTCTCTCTCCTCAATTGTTTCTCGTGTTCTTTTAACCCTGTATAGTAGTGGAGAGTGTTTATTAACCACAACTAATTTTTTATAATTTTGTTTAATTAGTGGCCTCCGAGGGATTGATAGCTAATTTTTGAGTATTTGTATATTTTAGCAAGAAAGGTAGGCACCTTGTCCTCGAATCTTACGGGATTTTGGATTTTAGAAATTATGATATGCACATCGAATGAGAGGAAATTTTCAAGTTACTGATCCATTAGCAGGAATTCATTGTGCAATGGAAGAGACCTTTTAATCACCATAAATTCAAAGCAGAATGTATTTGATATTATATGTTTTACCTAAGATATCCGCATTGTAAGGACTCTTCTGAAAACTTTCTTTCCGTAAACAAAAAAATCCCTCTAGAAAGTGTTTTAAGTAGAAATCCCAGCATAGGTACCTCTTAATTGTGATTATTTCCATTATTTTTTCCCTTTAAGTCATACTTTGTGATTAAAGTTTTATAAAGATTTCAGCAAAATTCCATAGTTATGTTAAGGGCAGGGAAAAAAAAGGCTCTTGATTTTTACCTGCCGGTGGGATGAATTGAAATCGATCCATACTTAAAATTATTTTTCAAAGTAGCCTTGGATTCAACACATTTAATCAATTTAAAAAATACTGCATCCAATTTCTGCTGATGAGAAGATTGATCCAATTGAAGATATCTTAAACTCAAGACTTGCTCATGAGTATTATTTGCAATCTAACTTTGTGCAAAGTTGCAAGCACAGAAGTCGCAGTTGATGCGATGCTGCATCACTAGGACACTTGACTGCACTGCCAATATTGGGCCCATTTGTCAGCATGAAGTAGGAAATGGAATCAGAAATAAACTAGAAATAGATGCTCCTTCTAAAGTACACTCCTTTCCTCAATCTCTTTCCATCTCAACATCATTCATATTTATGCCCCCCCCCCCCTTCATTGTATTTTAATTGAGAGAGATTTTTGCTTTCTAGGTGAAACGGCTATTCTGTTGGTTATTGATTGATACTTCAATACGCATGGCTGAATTCGCGACAAATTTTGGTGATTTTCTGAGAATAGAAACGTCAGTAGAAATAGCCCACCAACTGTGACTTCTTCCTGAATAATTTTGAGCATTGTTAAGTCCTCCACGCATATTGTTTTGCTATTTCAAAGCTTAGCATTTGTATTTCATGAGTAATTACAGTTGAAGGCTAATTTTACATTGATCAATTCGGTCTGTGGGAAATAGTAGAAATTCATTTGATTTTCAAGGACAAGACAATTAAGACGTTAATCAACAGTTAGCAAAAGGGTAGTTCCCTATTGAGTAATAATAGAGGCTAGGACACTTTTCAATTTTGATTCCATTAATTATCGTCGCTCTTATGCATCTTAGCTAGTTGCTAGATTGGTCCAGAGTTTTGATTGTTCTTCATTCAAGGCTTTCTAATTTCTTCATCCCATTGCGGGGGGAAAAAAATTTCCCCTAAATACAGTGGAACCTTGACTATCCAATCCTTCAGCATCTGAAACTTCTATTCGACAAATCCCCCCCCCCTTCCCCTACAAAATATGGCAAACAAGGCATTGCCTGTCATAACTTGTAGAAATTATGTAGATGAGTAAGAATCAACTTCTTACCTTTTTTGCTGAAGAAGTAATTGCCAAAAACTGTTCGATTCAATTCGTAATTCAAATTCTCTTTCCTGAATGTAAGGGACTCTCCAAAATTTTTCAATCAATTTCTCTCAATTTTCTATTAGAAATTTTCCTTTTTTAAATGTAAGTAATATTAATTCAATATTTTTTGAAATGGGCAACATTTATGAAGGTTGAGGACCAATGAGGCTCAAAGGAAAAAGTGCAAGCAAAATTTTTAGGATCTACTCAGACCCACAGTCATTTGAAATTATTGTTTTGTGATCTCCTCATCAAGTCGGGTAAATAAGGTTCCACTGTTTTACTAACTGTATTGATGCGTTTCACAAAAACAATGTATGGAACATGGAAGTCCTCGTAAAAGCCGTGCTAAGCTTGTGGATTTTGAAAAAGTCTCTCTCAGAATGATACGGATCAGAGTCTGTTTTGTTGCCATGCATGTTGAGGAATTCTGAAGCAAAAATTTTGAATTTTTCCTGCATGAAGGTGTCCTGTAAACCCTTCTGTTTAAAATGTTTGTACTTAGACCATTTTCATGGTTCTTCTTGTTATGGTGAAAAGATTGATGCTACTTTTAAATCAAGAATATCTATCATGTCGGTTAAAATTCATACCTGCGTTCAATTCTGACAGGAAGGAGCGAATATAGTCTCTTAGTAAATTTAATCCTTTTAGTGTTTTATTAGTGAAGAAAATAATGGTTGTTGATCTCAACCTAAGATCTCATTTCCATCAATCTTGCGGCAACAGCCAAATCTTGTGACCCTGGTTCCTCCGTCTCATGAGAAAAGGATAATTTTTGTTTTTGTAAACAGGTGTCATAGATTTACTTATATAGAAGCTGTTGGAAAGTTCAAAGCAATCGTGGGGATTGGTGAAAAAAGATATTCCATCCCTGAAAATTTAATAAACAATTATAGTCTGACAATTATTTTTATAGATAGAGATTAACATGTCAAAATTTATTGTTAGTGAGACGTATCCATGTATTTTAAAGACTAGGCCAGTTAAGTGTTCCTGATTTTAAAAGCCATGAAAATAATGATTATTTCTTAAACCTTCAACGTATCTTTTTAAATTGTGCTCTGTTCTATCTACACTTTAAAAATCACCACATGATGTCTCTCTCATGATTCATTATGAAGCCTCACTTTTATGCCAGATAACCTCAGTTTGATTTTACTCTTTAACTTATAAATCAGTATTTGAGAAGCAGGTTGAGATTGATTTCATGCTTTTTCCTCTCTTGTGCAGGAGAGAACAGCTGGTCAGCGATTGAACATCATCATTGTTGCTGAAGGAGCCATAGATCGAGAAGGTCAACCAATTACTGCAGAAAAAGTGAGACAAGTCGTCGTAGATAATTTAAAGCAAGACACTCGGATAACAGTTCTAGGTCATGTACAAAGAGGAGGTAGCCCTTCAGCTTTCGATCGAGTCCTGGTACGTCATAATTGCCACTCAGCAAACTGATCAATTCTCTTTAAAATTTTTATTGTGGTGAAATTAGCTGTTTTTGCCTGTTCATCTCATGAGGCCAGATCAATATCTCCACCAATATCTTTGAAAAAATTGAAACAAAAATCTGTGCCAACGAAAGTTGCACTTTATCATTTCCTTATTAATTTTTACTCAGGACTATGTTGGTCATAACATTAAAGTAAGCTCAAATTTTTTACTCCGATTGAAACTTTTTTCGGAATTTTCCTGTCTTGCTCTCCCTACAAAATATTCTGGACCCTGCACTATTTTATCAACTTGTTACCTACAGTTCGGGCCACATTCTTGGTGTTTTTTTCTTGTTTACAGAATAATTGAAATTAATTTTAAAAATTATGTAGGCATGGTTGGCAGTCACTATAATATGATAAAAATTTGGTGCAGATTTTGCAAAAGAAAGAGCGAGGTGCGTTTGATAATACCCCGTCTCAAATCCATTGAATCCATGCTCTTTGCACAGAAAAATACTTTTCTGCCTTTGACATCACTTGTTCCAATTTACCCGTGTCACTCCATGGATCAAATGACAGTTTGAACACCCCTATAAAAGAGCAAGATTATCCATCTTTTTGTCTCTCTTCAGCTTTTAACTTCACTTCACTCTTTTCTCAAGTTCTACTGACTAATGTTTCATGTGTTTAAATTATTTTTTCTCTGAAGGGATGTCGAATGGGTGCAGAGGCAGTAATGGCATTAATGGAAGCAACCCCCGAAACAGAGGCGTGTGTTGTGTCCTTGGATGGAAATCAAGCCGTTCGCCTACCCTTAATGGAATGTGTCGAGAAAACTAAAGCGGTAGCTAAGGCTATGGCAGATAAGCAGTGGGATCTCGCTGTGAAATTGAGGGGCAGGCAAGTTTTATTCTGTTTTTATTCATGACTTTAATGTTAAAAATGTTATTCTTTGTGGTATTCATATCAGTTACGTAGATTGACTTAAAGTATTGTAGACAGGATAGAAGGGTAAAATGTATAGAGAGCCAAGAGGCAAATTCTTGTTAAAAAAATTGTCATATATACAGTAACTCAACTTTTTCTTCTTTTGCCTTGTCAGAGAAAATTTTTATATACCTATTTTTTTTTTTTAAATTTTCTGTGGTTTTTTTTGTGATTAATTTGTCTGAAAATAATTTTATACTCTTGATTTCGTTTTTTCAGGAGTTTTGCAAGGAATTTGGAAACCTATAAGATGTTGACTCGACTGAAACCTCCGAGGTCTGCCTTTGATGAATCGGGTCGTGGATTGGTAAGTGAAGTACCTCAATTTTCATCATAAAAATACCAATTTTAAAGTCTTGAAATTCTACGACAAATGACTTTTTGTCTTCAATTTTGTAAGACCTAAATATAGAAGAGTAAGATTGTGAGATGGAAAAGTTACTGTCTCTTGTTGATTCATAAAACCAAAATTTTGTAAAAACAGTAATCATCCATGAATATGGGAGTCTCAACTTTGCTCGGATCGAAACTGTATTTTGCAAATAATCATGAATGGAGATTTCCTAATTTTCTTTAAGTTGCTAGAGTGGAACAACTTATCTCTCTAATGTTGTGTAATGATTCTACAGAAATAGATCTCAAGGAAAAGGAATGGGAACAGATAGGACAATAGGATTCTCATTGAATTTTTAAAATCTTGTTTTTAAGTGCAATGCTACGTAACAAAGCTGCTTCAGGGGTGCATTGAAGTGTAATCATTTTTTGCCCGTAACTTTTGAATCGTTATAGACGAAGCTCTGATCTTCATTGCATTTGAAAGGAGGTACAAAAATACAGCATTGTGCAAAAGTCAATTTTTCTAAGCGATTTCTTTCAATGCTAGAGAGTGGATGGGAGAAGACAACAATATGTGTGTTCTGTCTGAAAATACAACAGGTATCTGCAGATAATCGACGCCTCCATTTTAACCTATCACAGGAAAATTTCACATGTTTTATAAGTGGTAAAACATTTTTGTGCACAGCCCGCACCTTAATATTTGACTGCATGAAATAGGAAAATCAATATGGGTTACCTGCCGGTACCCTTACGTTTTTGGTGAGGCCCTTCGCTATCAAGGAAACAGTTCAGGAAGAATTAACTCAAGGGTTAATCAATTACAAAAACAAATTTCTCAGTGTTCATACAGAAAACAAATTTAGACATTTTGAGACTATCATGTCTACTCTTTATTTAAATTTGAAGAAATTTTAACGCTATAATAAGCATGCAGCCCTATGTATCCAATTTTTTTGCATCTTACTTAAAATGTGACCATAATCAGTAATCCGATGATTCCTTTGATTCTCAGTTGCCTTAGAATTCTGTGTATCATATTACTTTATCCTCAATCATTGCTTTGACATTATACATAGAACTGTTTTTTATGGCAGGGTAAAGTTTGCTTGTAGTAATGAAGTGAGCTATTAGACATGGTTTGAACTAGAAGAATAGTCGCATGGTTTCTCTTCAAAATCATTCCTAGAGAACGATTCACCCAGCAGTTAGTCTGAAAATCAACCCCTGAACGAGGTATTAACGAGTATTTTAAAACAGATAGAATGAAAACATTACTTGAAAAGCATCAATTGTATTTTTTTCGTCAACCGTTGTTAATAGTGAGCACTTACATCTTTTTTAGGAGTCAATTTCCAGATTTCCGTGTTGTGTAGCTCATTCTTCCCATGAAATTTTGAAGAGGAAATGTGGGGCTTAGTGCTTAAGTTCATACCTTGTTTGGAGGTCAATGGCTTATCCCTTACTAATTTTTATTTCTTCTTTTTCTTTTGTTTTGTTTTCCTGGATAATCTGCACTCATAGAGTAAGGTAAAAATTGTCAAACTACTTATTAAGAGAATAGTTTCGCTTTATCCCCATTCCCCTATATCCCCCCTGTTTGCAAGACTCCGTAAACTAGATCATTCTATTTTTGTCCTACCTATTCTCGCCCGTTGAAATTCAAATGGCCAACCAAGCCACTAGAAACCTTGTTTACTTGGGTGCATTTCGTGAAATAATTTTTTTTTAAAGAACCACCTCCAGTGGTAATTGAATGAAAATGATAAAGGGAAATCGACGAAGTCGTAACCTTTTACTTTACCCGGAAACAATGACCGGAACTGGTCCAATTCTATGTCTATCAAAATATTCCCTTGAGGCGTTCTTCTCCGTTAATTTGGCCGCTTAATACAAATTTTGTCGGTAGATATGGATCTCGAAAATGTTTCTTATATTCCAGATTCCTAAATTTAGATCTATGTTAAAAATTTTTGAACACCATTACTACTTCCGTCATTATTCAGACAACGTCAGATGAACTATCTTGACCCAGTTTATAGTTTTCAACTTAAATGATCTCCCTCTAAAAATGGTTGTTTTGTTCTTTTTTCTTTCATCCAGCAAGACACTTTGTGGGGACAGGTACGTTTAAAAAAATCCTACCAATCGTGTTTCAGTTCCCTTGATCGATTGTTAATTTTAAACTTCCTTTGATCATCAGTCTAGATGAATTCACGATTTTTAAAACCAACTCCCATTTTTAAAAAGCTTAACATGTGTGATTTTACTGTGTTCTATTGGAAGCTCGCTGCTTTTACAGTCTTGATATATTTTACGAAAATTGTCAAATTGCTGTAATTTTTTAAACTTTATTAACCGCTGAAGCACCTACATCATAAGCTTGGGGTACAGCAAATTTTAATCTGTATGAATGAATCACAAACCACCTTTATTTTAAACAAACAATTCAGCTGTTTCATTCGCCATGATAAATGCTAATGTTGAATACGTATGTAGCAAGGCAAATCAATCCTCACAATAGAATAGGAACAAATAGATTGCAGGGGAAAATTCGCAGGAATAGTGCTGAACATTGAAGAAAATGCATTGAAACTTTTCAACCTATCTAGGCAAACTGTCAGAAAATGCTTTTGAAAACTGTCTCTCAGTCTAGGTTTGCTTCTATAATTTTATTGATCAATTCAGTGTTGGATACCGATTTGTAGAATATCGTTTTGTTTTATGTTTGGCATCAGGACAATAAAAAAGTTATAAATTTTCTTAAATCCCAACAGTGTTGCAACTTCATGTGTGAAAATTTTATGGAGATGGTATCCATTTATAAAGAACAAAAAACTCATCAAGAATTGTACACGAATTACATGAAGATCTTGTTTAATGTCTGAACAATTCCCTCATTTCCCAAAACACATTTGTATCGTCCTTTGAAAGGACTTCGGTACTACCAGGAACCTCCGTCCTTTTGTGGAGTGATTTGAGCATGACCCTCCGTAGAGTTAAATCTATTTGATTGATTTCAATTCTGTGTCTTTGTTTTGCATGGCTCTGTAATTTTGTTAAAAATTCTAATTCAATGAAACCATTTTAGTCAAAATGCAATCTACATAGTTGCTGCGTCTGAAAACTGGTTGCGCCGTGACCCCATGAGTCGAAGTCGAAAGTTTGATTATCTTGTTCACAATCGGTCCATAGTTGCCTTTTTGAAAGATAGTTTTTTTTTTCTTTTAACAATATGGGCAGATCCCCCCCCCCCCCCAACATGACCGAAAGAAGCTGCACCCTACTCAAGTCCCTCAGAAGATTGGAATTTGATTACTAAAATGGTGGCTTTATGTAGATAGAACGGTTTTCCTTCGCATTTCCGCAGATAGGTCCCATTGCCAAACAATGTATTAGCTGAGTAGGGACAAGGGGACAAAGAGATGGAAATAAGAACAAATAACTAGGAGATCAGAGGAGTGTGTATGTAAGTGAAGAGAACAAGAGACAAGTTTAGAGCGTAACCATAGAATCACATATCGATGGTGAAACTACCAAACCACGTATCGGTTTGCGACGTCGCAGACTTCCTGTCATACTTTATTTTTTAAATGAAAAACTACTTAACGTCCAGTCTTGAAAATGTCTGTGATTTTTCCTTTTCGTGCGGAGAAAATTTTGTGAAAATTTCAAGGAATGATATTGATTTGGTCTACTTAAAAAAAATAAAATGTGAGCGTAGATTTTTAAACACCGCAAACGAGATACGTGGTTTGGTAGTTTCATCGTCGATATGCATTATACACAGGCGAAATCATACAAGCTGCATTTAGCAACAGTGTATTAGCGGGACACTGAAGCAGTCATGGAGTAGAAAGGAGACTTAGGTGTTTCTTGCAAGCACTTTTTACTTGTCATCGTTAATAGTGTTATTGCCCTCCTCTAATATTGTATGCATCCCTATGCAGTATATTTTAGCAATCCTATAGCATTGTAAATAAGTATTTTTTTCAAGAATTTTAATGGAAATGTGCGTTTATCTAAATTCAACATAGTGTGCTAATTATTCTGATTGGCTCAAAGGATTTTTAAGCTGTACATTTGATTTTCAATTTCATTATTCTTATTCTTTTTCTTTCATGAATGATTAATGTATCTAGAAATTTTTCCTCTGTCCAATTTTCTCTTCTTTGGATTTTTTCAAAATTCATGTAAGAATCTACTAGCTTTATCCTAGCATCCATTGCATGTCAATCGGATTGTTTTCTCTTGAAACTCTCGGATGAAATGGTCATTGTAATTGCCTCTTTCCGCATTATTTTTTAATTTTACCATGTCTGTTATTTTTTCAACTGTTTCTATCTATTTTTTTTTACAGGAAGGGTACACCTTGGCAGTAATGCACATTGGTGCTCCCGCGTGTGGTATGAATGCAGCAGTGCGATCTTTCGTCAGAAATTGTATTTATAGAGGTGACACGGTCTACGGAATTCATGATGGTGTAGAAGGTTTTGTTGCTGGAAATGTAAGTAATTTACATCAAATCTAGGTCAACTTCGTTTTTTATTGGGTTTCAAATACAATTGTTCCAATCCAATTGTTTTCTCAGAACCCACAGTTAAAAATTCTGAATAAGATGAGTCAAAAAACCAGTTTTGATCCAATTTAAAAATTGTGATCTTTTTGTTCATCGTTGTAAACAAAATTCCTTGTTTTATAAAATTAAAAATTACACAAAACACAGCCTAAACATTGAACCTCTGTATTTTTCCCCTAAGAATTTCAAAAGTAATTTTAGACTGGTTTTATTAAAAACTAAATTTTGATATCTTTTCGGAGATATTGGTGCATGAAGGTTCCAACCTTAACTCCTTCCTTGCGTTCCCCCAAAATTGTTTGAGTTCTAAAAATTTTGGAAGAAAAGGACTCAAGTATGAGTAATCTATGTATAAAACATCTGAAGGAATTTTGGGGTTTGCATCAAGCTCTTTTGCACACCCAAATGTTGGGCTCAAATTAGCATCATACTCTAACCAATTAATTTTATTTAAAAATTGTCACAGATTCAAATTATGCAGTGGTCGGATGTAACTGGTTGGGTTGGCCAAGGTGGTGCTATTCTAGGGACGAAACGTACCCTTCCTGAGGGGAAACTGCCTCAGATTGCCGCTAGGTTGAAAGAATACAAAATTCAAGCGCTTCTCATAATTGGTGGTTTTGAAGTAAGTGCTCATGATATTCGTGCTCAAATATTCTGCCCCTCAGGATGCCTTCCGAGGTGTTCTCATAGCACTTTTGAAAACAACTTAACAATTGATGGACTAATCAACAACTCTTGGGTTTTAAGATTTTTCAAAAGTTCCTGAAAGTGACTTCATGTCCTGGCAATCAAGCATTCCTGTATGAAATTTGTTCCTTAAATCCACTCACGGAACAACTGCAGCCTTGCAAACTTCAGGTAGAGCTAAATGGAGAGTTACTCTGACGGATTTCAGCCAGAATCAGGCTAACTGCATTTAACATTGCCCAAATTTCTCCTATGTTTTATTTTTTTAACGGAGAAACTTAATGCCTTGTAATTCTTTTTGAATTTACCCTAGGGCATGGAGAACGTCTGATGTAGTTAGGCTTATTCTAGTGAAATCTTTACATTTCATTCTCAGGCCATCTTGAGTTTTGTGTCAAGTTTGGTGCAACGTATCTGTCTCAAATTATTTCCTTTGATTTTTTTACGTTTTGTAGAAGCTAGCTCAAAAGCTGTCACATATCTCGCATAAGGGGAGAACTTGCAAGAAACAATTTTATTGCTTCATCTGAAAGTGCCTTATGAGCTAAATTAGCAATATTTTCTGTCATGGAAAATTGTAGAGAAATAGATTCAAAAGTGAGAAAATTTACTGCCTTGTGACTTCATCTGGCAGCATTTTCCCTTTGAATGTATGTATTTTAGCAGATTCAGTTATTTTGTCATATCTCCTCCAATAATTGTTCACCTCAGAAACTAAGGACTTTCTCGTACTTATTTCCTTTCATAGTTTCATCTTAAACATGAAATTCACCAAATTTCAGACACCTACATATTCTCCATTACATATAAGAGGCACATACATACACACATACATGAGACTTTATAAGTACATACATCTAAATTTTTGAAGGATTTTAAGTGGAATAACTTCTTTCAGTCGTAAGTAAAGTTTGTACTTTCTTGTTTTACTCCTTCTCTCTATCTAAACTACCTGAAACAAGTCAAATCACGTGCTTTATTTCTCTTTCCTAAAATTAATCAGTGCAAGGTGTAAGTTAGCTTAGTCTAGCTTTTTCCTTACCGATTTTAATCCAATCTGATTATTCATTTTTCTTTTTTCATGCAGGCTTATCAAGGTGGAATTCAGCTGGTCGAAAACAGAGAACAGTTCCCTGAATTCTGTATTCCTATTGTTATTATTCCGTCTACCATTAGTAATAATGTTCCTGGAACTGAATTTTCTCTTGGATGTGATACTGCTTTAAATGAAATCACTGAGGTATTTATTCTTTTAAAGTTAATAGGTATAACATTAAAAAATTTGATACCCATGAATCTCACAATAAGCTCAAACTATGGATAGTGCTAAAGAAAAATTTCCAAGATAACAGTCAAATCAAAGCTGCTTATTTTATTTTCCCTGCAGTGAGTCAAAAGAATTTTTCCAAAGGTAGAAAGCTGGTCTGCAAAATATTAATTCCTTTTGAATTTACACCTTTTTTCTAGTTTCCATTTTTGTTGCCAACCGGTTGTTTTATGTTAATCTCCCTTCTTCTTACTTAAAAACTGGCATGCCAATGAACAAATGGCAATTTTGAGCGGTAAACGTAACATCAATTTTGTTTTTTTCTGTTCGCCTCCGACATTTAGAAGTAATCATTAGGATGTATTAATAATTTGAAATGTTTGTTACTGTCAACAGATTTGTGATCGCATAAGGCAGTCTGCCCAAGGTACCAAACGGAGAGTTTTCGTCATTGAAACCATGGGAGGCTACTGCGGATATCTTGCAACAGTAGCAGGTAATTTCTCCCAACTGGATATAACTGTGAAATCTGAAATCGGGGACCAAAGCTCATGGCTATATTAGATGGCCAGGGAAAGTCGCTTTGGAAAAAGGAGGAGAGGGTTTCTGCCAAGCAATACATAATTCATAAGAGAAGGAACAGGGCATGTAGTATGGGTGCATCATCTGAGAGGTAATGTGTAGAAAACCACGAAACATATGTCATATTTGAATCAGTGAGAACGAAAACACACCAACTCGGAAAAATGAAAGTAATCAATACACACACAAAATTGCACAGTAGATGAAGAAATCAGTCGAAGAAAAATATTCCTGGTGCCGAAATACAAGCACTTAAGGACATTTTAAATGTCCAAGTTGGAACAGATGCGCTAACTTCAATGACCTTTTAAAAATTGACCATCTTTAATGAAAATTGAGCATTTTCGAGTTACCCAGTTGGTGTGTTTTCGATCTCACTGATTCATTCGTGGGTGATAACAGTACTAAGAAGAAAAAAAACCAAACAATAATCAACTATTATATCAAGGAGGGATTGTGCGCAAGAGGATAAATTTGAAAGATGGAACTTTGAAAAGGGCTTAATGTTCGTTTCTAGGGCTGTACAAAATATGAATGATCCGATTTGAGGTCGCTCTAAAGATGACTGATGATTGTCAGCCAATTTTTCATGAATATTTAAATTGATTTGTCACAGTTATAAAATGTTCTTTTGCTTTTTCTTGCTCCTGAAGGACTTGCTGGTGGTGCCGATGCTGCGTATATTTATGAAGAAAAATTTTCCATTAAAGATCTTCAACAAGATGTATATCATATGGCATCCAAAATGGCTGAAGGTGTACAGAGAGGTCTTATATTAAGGTGTGTATCAATTGAAACGTTAATTCACAGAGGGGCCAAGACCCAAAAATTCTGCAGCACTGATTTCTTTTATTTAAGTATAACTTGGGCCCTTTTATAATTGAATGTTAAAATTGTGACTTTATTGAAATGAAGGATACCCAATTTTTTTGATTTGTCCTTCCCTTAAGAGTTAGTTCTTTCTCTCACTTGCTTCGATGGTTTTTAGATTGCTAAGATAGTCGCCAGTGAGGATTTCCCTGATTTTTTGAGTCAGGAGCTGGCGAGATGTTTTCTGATCTCGGGGTTCTTCAGAACTCTCATTGAAGAAAACCTATTCTTGAAAAACGATAAGAAAGATTGCGCCTGTCCTTCAAGAGTTACAAGGGTTACTTTGAAGAGCAGCGGGCCCCTAATCTTTCGTTGAGGAGAAGAAATTCCCTTTCTCTTTGCATTTCCTCAAGAAGAAGTTTACAAGTGAAGTTCCTGTCGTAAAAATCCAAATTTAAAGGATCATTTTTAACTGAATTATTTCCCTAAAAAAACTGTCTGTAAATAGCCGATGGTACTATGTAACAATCTTATCAATACCATCCCTTTTCAGATTTTTGTAGTATAAGAAGCACAAAAGAACCTGTACATAAAAATTTATAGTTATATCGTGCGCACAAGCACTATTTTACATTTTTAATTTTTGCAAAATTTTTCTTGGCAATATGGCGTTATCTCTCATTGTTACAACACTTCATGGCTATCATTATTTTTAGGAATGAAAAGTGCAATGATAACTATAACACCGATTTCATCTATAGACTCTATTCAGAAGAAGGCAAAGGGCTTTTCAGCGCTAGAATGAATGTTTTAGGTAAGATTTAATATACATTCAATGTTCAGTATTGATTTTTGGCCAAAATTCAAGTGTCTTATTAATTTTTAAAATTGCCCCTTTTCGTCCCAGTTTAAGACCAGGAATAGAGGTGTTCAAACTAATTCTTATTGTTAAGCTGTTAGTAGACCTTGTTTAAAATATTGATAAGTTCTACAATGATCATCGCTGCTGGAGACTCTTTCAAAACTGCTGAAGCTTCGAGTCAGTTCATTATTATCCTGCATGTCTGTTTGTTCAGTCCCATAGAACTGATACACTTGAAAAAAAATCTCGTTTCTGCCTGCTCCAAAAACTGTAAGAGGTGTTTTTTTTCATCATATCTGAAATGGTATTTTTGTCGTGACTTTTCTTGGTAATATCATAATACTTTGACCAAACAACTGTCTCGTTAATCTCCTTTACTTGGCATCAGACATAAATGTTTATAATCAATGACCATTCAGAAATGTCATTGAGATGAAAGTAACATGATAGAAGACTACCCTTTCTGCTGGGGAAATGATGGAGCAAGCAATTCCTAACCTTCAAAAAAATGTCACGAAGCACGGTCAACTTCAAAGTATCGATAATTTCTTTAAATCAAGTATCTCAGAAATTGGTATATTTGGTGAAATGAGTAATATATCATCGAAAGAAATAGTAGGTTGAATCATCCTTTTTTGATAACCATTCGTGAGAATTTTGAAATCTTCAAGAAAAGTAATGCCAGTGAAGCTCAAGTAACCCCCTTTCCTCTCTTTTCCTCAAGCTTGCTAAAATTTGTGACCCCTATAAATCAAGGTCTATATTTATCTATTTAAATATGTTGAAGTGCTGTTTTGTTAGTACAGCACTTTAATGGGGAAGGCAACCTTAAAAACATGTTTGGTTGAATCGACGAAGAAAAGTTTGCATTGAACGATGCCGAAATCCGTTTGCGAATATCTGCATTTGTTGAGCTGCTATCGCGAAAAATTAGCTAAACGTGTGACGTCATGAGCTCCATCTCGCATTTCGCAGTCTGCACTCTGTCTCCGGTGTCAAGTGGCGGACGCGTTTTCGCGACAAGTTATTAGTTCGCCCCAGTCTCGCTCCTTCCCGGCAGACTCTTTTTTCTTTGCTTAGGTGTGACTATCAAGGCGACTTTGCGGCGCCAGACAGCGAAGGTGCCAGACCACGAGTTGTGTGCTTGTGAACCGCAGTCGCACCGAGCGCATGACGCCACCAGTCAGACTTACAATCTTTCACATCTCTGCCGAATTTTGCGAATTTTTCATTCTTTTGCTTCTCAGACCTTCCGCTTCAATGTTCAATACTATCTCATCTTCGATTTTAGGGTTACCGTCCCCTTTAAATATTATTAAATGTATCCTTCTAACTCTCTACTTACTAATGTTTATTCATGGATTCTTCTCGGTTGCCATGATTACCAGGATTTTATTGGTTCTCTGACTGTTTTAGGTCACATGCAGCAAGGTGGATCTCCGACTCCGTTTGATAGGAACATGGGAACCAAACAAGCAGCTAAAGCAGTCGACTGGATCATCAGTCAGTTGAAGATTCACGCTCGCGATGACGGCACCGTTTACGCCAACACGAATGAATCGGCTGTAATGATGGGAGTTGTCCGTCGTCAGTATTGTTTTACACCTCTCATGGATTTAAAGAAGGAAACCAACTTTGAGTAAGTCTCTTTCTGATCGTTAAAATTTGTTTAATTGCAGTAGAGCATCCATTCTTGGATTCTGCGATCTAGTGGATCAATCCCTTTAAATGAGCCCTTAACCCTCTATGGCATGAATTAATTTCTGGTTTTGGATTCTGGAGGCCCAAAATCCATATCGTAGCTTTGAGTCCCAAATTTTTTCACTGAATTTCAAAATGTTGGTAATAAATTTTTCAAAAGAAGAAAAAATTCATTGAAATTTGTAAAATTTTGCCTCAGAAAAGTAGTTGGGTTTTTTAAAAAACATTAAATGCGTTGTTACAATTAAGTAACACTATGCCATAGAGGGTTAACTCCTCCTTTTCATTTTTTTCTTTTCTGTTCCTTAATACATTTATCAAGTATTCTGTAATGCTATCGCGGAGAAGCATCTGAGATTACATTCTAATGTATTACATGGATGAGAGGCGGTCAAAAGAAGGAGAAAAACGTATATGAATGGAGAATTTGCAACCAAAAATTTTATTGCCTCTTCTGAGAGTGCTTAATGGGCTGAGTTCGCAGTATCTTTCATAACTTTTGTCTGAAATGGGAAACTTGAGAACATTAGATTTAATAAATGTGAGAAAATGAGCTGCCTTGTGATGTTATCTGACGGCATTTCCCATTTAAACACTTATATTTCAGCAGATCAGGTTATTTTGTTATATTATATAGTTATATATATATAGTTTCATTTTAAACATGAAATTTCCAAAAATCCCAATGTCACTTATATTTGTTGTGTTTTCAGTCAGCGTATTCCAAAACATCAGTGGTGGCTGAAACTGCGACCTCTTCTGCGTATTCTTGCAAAGCACGATAGTGCATATGAGGAAGAAGGAATGTATATGACCGTTGAGGAAGGAGCTGAAGCAGATCCTCTCGTCGTGTAAAGTCCTGCCATATTCCCCACTGTTGTTAAGTTTACCGTAAGAATTATTGTGTTTAACACCCAGTGATTTATCTGTATAGTTTGTATATTTTGCAATACATTAACACCGTTCCTTTTGCGTTGTCTCAAAGTACCTACGCTGTCTCTCAGAGAAATCCTAGTTGTGTTTCGTTTCTGAGTTAAAAATAGTCTATTTTGTTTTTTTATAATTATATTTTTGAAAGATGATAACATGTTTTATCAATAAGAATAACATTTCAAGTGGATTATGAATCTACTCAGTTTTAATTAGTGTAACTGATTTACTTTCATTCATGTATTAACCATGTGTCCTGAGATACAACAAAATACATCTGTAAATTGTTGATAGCACTACATTGCTGAGGAAAAAGGTTGTGTAAGCCCTCAGACGTTACCATATTTTTAATTGATGAAAAATGAATTCACAGGGAAAATTTTGAATATTTGCTCTTCCAATTGTTTTAATGCATTTTTTCGCAATTTTATCTAAAACATCCGAGAATTTCAAGGAAAAAATATGCATATTTTTCCTCAAAAATAAAATTTTTATCGGAAGAAATTTGGCAACTTTTGGATGGTTATTATACAGCGTTCTTCTTTAGCATGGCAGAGTTTTCCATCGTTCAATTTACAAATCAAAGGCACTGTGGTTAGATTTTACTAAAGAGCCTTGTTTTTGTAATTTTTTTCCGGTGACTTGAAACAGAACATGTATTGAATCGGAACTTAATAAACATCACCTTTTACTCTGAATGTACTCAGAATCTTAAACCAAATATTTTTTATTTGTTAGTACTATATTCTCCATGGGAAAAATTGATCTAAATAAGGGAAAAGCAATTAAATAAACCAATCACATTCTCAGTTCAAATGTTTTGTTATTTGATTTTTTATATTTTAATTTATTTTGTGGATCCGTATATTTATTTTTTAATGATTATGAATCATTTGGTCCTTTAGTCATTAAGTAATTTTCATCCAGCTTTGAAAAAGTAGTAGGAAACGTTTTATTTAGTATTTTCCCTATTTTTTTCTTATGTGTTGCTCATTTTTGTCTATTGATGGCAAAACTAGAAAAACATGTATCAGTAAGTTACAAGACTTGGAAAGTTACATACGCCTTGTTGCATTCTATTTTAATGCAGGAAAACCTACTCTTCACGGTGTTGATTTTTCTTGGCTCATCAAACAATATTTTCTAACAGTTACATGCAAAAATACTCGTTGCTTTACTTTTGAAGAAAATATAATTCCAGCGGAAATTTCGGAACCAACAAGTAGTGTTTTTCTAGTTTCATTATCAATAGGTTCATCAGTTTATTTATTAATCATTGATAATTATTTTTTTTTTTCCTCTCTTTTTTTTCTGATCTATTTCTAGCCTAATAAAATGGGTCGGGGTAAATTACACTGCCTCATGAATTTTTTTTTACCTTTTTTATTTCTAATCAGTATCATTTCTAAAAATAATTGTAAAATAGGATGTTCCTATTGACAAAATCTCCGGAGTAAATTTCATTTCATTTGTCTGTCGAAGAACTGTTACAAGAATCAAACATATGAATTTAAAATTGAACAAATATACTAGGAGGAAGTTAGACCTAAGATGCTCCCACTAAGAATCGAGATAAAAAACCTCAGCAAAGACCTCACTGTTGGGGCCATCCATGAATGAAGACAAACTTTTTTCCATATTTGTTTACCCCCTCCTTTCATGTCAGGCAGTGATGAAGCTGCCTAAAAATTATGTCAGGTTTGGGTCAAGCACTCCCCCCTGAATATTACTCTTAAAATATCAACGCTCCGCTCTGTTTCCGATTAAAAAAGTATGAAAGAAGAGAGCTTTGCTCCGATTTAAGCCTGATGTCAGATTTAGCTTAACCCTCCACCCATCTTTCATCATTAAGTACATCTCTGACATTTTTACCCCTCCCCCTCCAAACCTGACATCATTTGTGGACAGCTGTATTTTGCTTACTTGCAGTTTGCAACTCATTCGTAGCTCAAGTCATGTTAGTCTTGTCAGGATCTATTTGGGCTTATTATTCTGAATCTTTCGAAATTTATTGTCTTTGCCTGACAAGTTTGTTATGAAAATTAATTTTCTCATTTCTTTCTGTAATTTGGATCACGCCTGGCAGCATTAAGCAGTATCACAGTGAACCAAGTGCATTTCACTTTATTGAGTCATTGACTGACACCCATAATTTTTCAATGGCACATTACAGATTTAATGCTGAGAAGACTTACTTACTGTGTTTATTTGAAGCAACTATTCCTAATTTTGATTCTCTATTGATCGCTTAACCTTTAAAATTGATCAAATATTGAGAAGTTTGGAAATTTAGCAACATTATGGTGTCAAGGGAATGCAGTTGCAAGGTCATGCATTATAAGAACAATAAAACTTTAATAACAGTGTTTTGGGGGGCCTAAAAGAAGCTGAGACTCCAGTGAGAATGAAGCAAATTTAAATTTGAGAGGTTCACACTGGTTGCACTGAAGGAAAAATCTGTGGATCCAAAAGTCCAACGATTAAGCTTTACCTCATCAGCAATCAATGCAGCTAATTCTATTCATCATTCTTACTTACTTTACCTTAACATTTCACTATGGCATCATTTTCATTTACAATTTTTGTATTGCTTATTTCATTTTGTATTTTGTTTGAACTGAATAAATACCTAAAATGTTTATCCGTTCATTGTGAGATGAATTTTAGAATTTAACTCATGTATAATTTGTTGATATTAATAGGAAGGGTCAGCGACTCATTAGACAGTGAAACTTCAGACTTCATGTGTCCTAATATGTATCGATGGCCAAAGTGCGAAACGGCGTACCTCCGCTTTGCCACCTTGCAAACTTCCTGTCATACTTTATTTTTTCTGAACGTAATTTCTTGAAAATTTCCTTGATTTTTCCTCTATGTCACCAGAATACTCTGTACAAATTTCAAACAATAAAGTTGGGTTGGTCCCCCTCCAAAAAATAAAATAGGAATAGACATTTTTTAACTCCACAAAGGAGATACAGGGTTTCACACTTTGGCCATTGATATGCTGCACACAGTTGACGGTTTGAGACTTTTCCTGCTAAAGACTTTGAGTCCTAAGGCTCAGTCAACAAAAACGCATTGAAATCTGAAGACTTCCTCCTGACAAAATACCCAGGGGCATAATGATAGGACAAGGCAAATCAATAACTAAAAATCAAACCAGTACAAAAGATTTATTTGAATAAACAGTCGGTTATTCAAAGTTCACAGGGATCACATTTTTTTAAAGAAAGCACCAGAAAAATTCATGGTTTCAACCAATGTCCGTTGGCCGGAGACTGAGGGAATTCACAAATAAGGGGCTGCCGGAGCAGGCTAACTACTGGCGTACTATTCCGTTGAGCCACATGCAGTAGAAAGTAAGCACTGGCAATCGTTCCTTGCTTATAAACTGTGCACGTGATCATACGCAGAATTACGCTTGCCGCAGAATTGATAAAAATGATAAAAGAGAAAATTTCACGGAAAATGACGCACTGGCTTCATGTAGAATTAACATCTCCTAGTGGTCACACCATTATTCTAAATTTATGATTGATAGTCGTAAGATTAAGATACAAAAAGAGAATGGAGCAAGGAACATGTTGCATTTGACATACATGAAACTCAGTACCAGCAACAAAAAAATGCATTTAGACTTCGACTCGGAATGTACTGAGAGAATACTCCCTACATAATGCATTATTATTGTTAAGTACATAGGGTACCTATGTATAAGTAAGAATGGAAGAAACGTTCCTAGAGAGTCTCTCTTCAATTGTGGAATTTTGAGCCGAGAAGTTGGATAAATAGTAAAATAAATCTGAAATGCATTGAATATGGGGCCAACTGGAACATTGTAAACTTCGGCGAGGGGTTAGTTGCTTGGTCTTCACACCAGTGTGATAGCAAGTGAGATGAAATACACATGGGGAATAGGATTTTTTCCTCTATCTCCTTGGAGAATTACATTTAGAGCCCAAGGTAAATCTTGCCAACTGGAACATTGTAAACTTCGGCAAGGGGTTAATTGCTTGGTCTTCACACCAGTGTGATAGCAAGTGAGATGAAATACACATGGGTAATAGGATTTTTTCCTCTATCTCCTTAGAGAATTACATTTAGAGCCCAAGGTAAATCTTAGGATAGTCTTTTTCACAAGTTGCAACTAATTGCACAAACCAATCAATATTTTTAATGGTATTGTACATAGAACATTAGGTACTAATTTCAACTTGTAACCCTTTGTGCATTAGTGCATTCAAAGGGATTTTGATCACATTTAGACCTCATTCAGCTAGGCTGCAAGTAAAATAAAATAACTGAAAACACAAACTAACTAAAGAAATAAACTGAATCTTTCACTTGGTTTATATCTAAGTCTCCTTTGGGCGGTACACTTCGCAGAGTTTCATTGAAAACTTTTCGATTCTCAGCTTTGCTGTCTTCTCCAATCAAGTCCCTGTAAAAAAAAATGACAATTGGAGAAATTTTTGTGTTGGAGATTTATAAATAACTTAAAACTTTCAAGCTTTTAGAACTGCATGAATATTCATGAAGTTTGAAATTGCCAAGACGATTGAAGCAATTATTTCGAAAAGGTGCCTGGTATATAATACTAATAGTACTTTTTTCGAAATTGAGTTTTTAATGGGAAGTAATCCTTTTCCGCCTCCTGTGCGGTTTTCCTTGTCTCCTAAATTATTTTTCCCCGAGTTAGCACCTATTCGAAATAGGCGCTTCAACTAAGGACGAGAGCTTGAGAAATTATTGTTCGGACTTGGGATTATTTGCATCTTTTAAACATGTTTTCTTCCCATTCAATTATCTAGAATATAGTTTCCTTTTACTGAAGAGGCACAAGAATGGGGTTCCAGATGGTGATAAGGGAGGCACTGAAACATTTAAAGAGATACAATTGTGTCACTTTCAATGTTTCATAAATAAACTTCAAATTTGAAAGGAGGGGAAGGTCCCAAATGAAGTTTAATCCTACAGAATTTTGAGCAAAAACATTGCTTCGTTTCCTGCGGAAAAAATCAAATAGAAGATAAAATGTTGAAACATCGCAGTATAGATGCGACCGTTTTGCTTCACTCTCCATTCATCAATTGTGGCCCAATGAAAGATCACAGAAGGTTTAGCTTAGGGCTGTGCGAGCCTGGTTTTTTGGATTCGAGCCGAGTTCGAGTATTTTTTCACTAAGTCGAGCCGAGTTCGAGCTTTTTCGAGCTTTGAAAATGACCCTAGAGCCGAGTCGAGTTCGAGTAATTTCGAGTTTTAAAACGTGATTTAATCTATTTTCTACAACAAATAATTTCAAACAAGACTCATAATATGATATTAATAATTATTGACGATGACACACTAGGAAGGATTTACCCTAAAATTACAAAATGTTCGGCAGTAACGCGTTAAAATAACTTCCCGCGGTTTAATTTGAAAAGAGGACAAAACTTGGCAAGAAGCGGCGTGGCGCGGCGTACATCAAAGGAACTTCGGGCGGCACAAGTAAAGGCTTTAGAGCCCATTTATACACGCAATTCGTGTCGCCGGCGGCAGTTGTCGCCGCGACGTTTTTTGGAATCGCGCGATTCCTATTTTTGTAGCCGCAGCACCTTTTTTCTGCCGCCGCGACACCGTTTTTCTGGAGCGCAAAAGGTCCAAAACACGTGGTCACTTTCAGTTTTCCAAGCGGTGGTCGCCGCCGCAGGTTGAAATTTGTCGCGCGCATAAATGCGCTCATATGACTCTGTGTAGTTACAAACCGCGCGCGCGGCAGGAAATCGCCGGGCGGTAGCGTGTTGGCGCTGCGGATGGTAGAAATTTGCCGACGAGACTCTGATGTTATTCAATCTTAAAATGATGGCAAAACTAACAATAGTTAAAGTATGATTGAAATGTTTGGAAGTTGGACTCTTTCGGCGTTTCCGGCTCAAAAAAACTCGAAATACTCGAAAAAACTCGTGTTGTTGACACTCGAGCCGAGTTCGAGTACTCGCTCGAACCTAACCTAACTTTCGAGCCGAGTCGAGTACTCGATACTCGGCTCGACTCGACTCGAAATTCGAGTACTCGCACAGCCCTAGTTTAGCTCAAGGTGAAGCCAAAACAAGGGAGATGATTAAACGAAATTAACTTACTCGTCAACAAATCCATATCTTTGAACAAGGAACTTGGATAAATCCTCTAAAATTGGTAGACTATGAAGGTTCACAAATTGATCTCTACATATCTGTAACAGAATAAAATTGAGTGACAGTGGTCAGTGACTCTGGCTTATCTACAAAATATTTTCCATAAATACACAAATTTTGATTCTCAAGCCAAGGGTTAAAATGAACCCTCCCTTATGGAAAAGGGAAAAAATTCATTTAAGAAAGAGCCAAAAACGCATACAATTTTTTCACCTGTGTTGAGCATATTGAAAAAGGTATGTGTTTCCTTTTAACAAGTATTGGTTCGAAAATAAAAATTATAAAATGGTTGGATTAACATTACATATGTACTCCAGCTCCTACTTTGAACAATGTTCCTACATGAAACTAAACTTCAGTTCAGAGTTCACATAATACATACAAAAAGAGTAAAAGCGAGATTCGACTGAACATTCCTCAAGTGCATCACTGTTTCATTAACTAATTAAGTGATATAGAATAAGCCAAAAAAAAAACACTTTCTTTTAACATTGAAATAAAACTTACTGACTTTGTTATTTACTTGGTCATTTTTTTTTATATTATCAGCGAAATAACGTTAGCAGCTAAAAAATTGATGACTTCTAGAAAGATACCTAAAATCTAAAACATTTACATCCAAATTTAAACCTTCTTTAGAGCACGCCAAATAAATTAAGGCTCGACGCAGAGGCAGATTATTCAGCCAGAGATTTGCGGATTTAACGATTGCCTGGGAACTTACCTCATTCATGATAGATATTGAGCTGGGATGAGTCCAATAGCAATCATGAACAGACACAAAAGTAATGTGTTTTTGCTCACTGTGGAGAGCTGTCAGCATCATGTGACTCGAGTCGAGTGAGTGGATGAAATTTGGAGGAAATGCATTCTTCTGCTGCATCACATGTGGCCGTCTATGATGTAAGAACATAAAAAGTTGGATCAATTTTTTTTCATCAGAGAAGAGATGAAAGATCAAGCTTGACTTAATGATATGAATACCTGACTCCTCATTGAATCACAACAAAACTTCATTGCTTACAGGGTATTTTTTTAAAACAAGTTACCACTTGGGTCATGAGTTGGTGACTGTATCACTACTGAGCTCTGAAAAAATTTTCTACTTGTTGTTTTGATTAAGTTACAAAATTCGATTGGTTCTTCGATTTTTCATAATGGAATTATTTGGCTATTCATTAATGGCGAGTTCATTAATAACTTCAGATAGATAATGGGAAAAAACAGAGGCATAACTTATAGTGAGTAGGACTCTCAGCAGTTAACTATTTTCTTGTCCTTTCATCTCCTAATCGACGATTTTCAGGAGAAATTATTTGCTCTCTGTAGAACAGTGTCCTGGCTACATGTACAGACTCGACCTTTCCCCTTCTGTTGAAAGAGGGTTTTTTGGGGCCCTCCTCCAGAAAATTTTGAGAGAGTCTCTTGAGAACGCCTTTTTTTCTTATGTTCTGATACTGTCCCAGTTCTATTTTTTCATGATATTCTATAGGATTTCCCCACTTTTTGCCCTTTAACTTAAAAAATTCTCTGTTTCACGTGTAAGTGCAAGCCACAGCATAAGCCAACGCTACTTGTTGTTGGATGAACAAGTGCCAGGCATTAATAAGATGACAGTAAAATCAACGAAAAAAACTGTTCAATTTTGACATATGTATGTCCTGTATGTATATTTGTACATTCAAGCAAGTTCCGATTATGTGGTACTGAAGCTTCCTTAAGGTATTGGACAGCCTTTACTATGGGCTCAGTCACTCAAAAAAGATCTTGAAAACTCAAAACGCGCGAAGATGAGCCAAGCATTCCATGAAATAGGAACCAGAGTGCATTGGCATATTGATTATTGGGAATAAATTGGGATATAATTATTCAGGGTAAAAACAATATCTCTCATATTGGTATGGTGTATTTGTTTTTTTGGTGTGAATATTTAGGAGGGTCCTATATTTTTCCGACACGAACATTTTCAGTGACAGGGACTGAACAGAAAATAAAATTAGTAGGGAGGCTTACGAGAAATATTTCATCAGAAAAGGAGGCACATGATGGTTCAAGCTTTGGGCTATTTTAATGGCAGAGCCTTCTGGTCGAACGTAAGGCTGAACGATTGGAAGGCCGAGAGGAGTGACCCATTCGATAAGTTGTCCACTTTGGGCTATCATTCTTGCGCACTGGGTAAACCAATCCTGAAAAAATAAGCCAGTTTCAGAAGCGGCAATTGTAATTCATACTTAAACGAATATGAAAAAGACCTAGGTTCAAAAATGACAGCAAAAATATACAAGGAAGAAGGCTAATATATGAAAATATATGAGGAAGAATTTGGAAAAATTCTAAAATATGAAAAAACTACAATTTGTTTGAAATTCTCAAAATGTATAGATTCTTTTCTACTGAACAGATCTGGTGCGGTAATTGCTGAAACTTTATTGCATCTTGATTAGCTGGACTTGATTAATAAAGTCAATACGTTTTACATTAGACAAGCACAAGAAAAGACCAATGGACCCCGTAATAAAATGAAACCTTTTATTAAAATAAGTTTTCTAGTTTTTCTTCTTGGTCTGAAGGTTAATTCTTAATTTTATTAGCTTTGCAACAGCAATGATGTTGCTCCAGGATTTAAATTCCGCACACGGTACTTTTTTCTTATTGCCAGTGATTAATTATACAATTAAAGACATTATATTCTTCATTTGATCAGAGTTGACGTAATGTAAAATAAGCTAAATACCTGAATTTCTTTTGTTGAAGTAAACATCTCCTGAAGGCTCAGAAAAGTCTTGGCAACAAGATAGTTTGAGGCTTTCCACACATCATCATTTGGAAATTCATCAATATCTGGAGGAATATCAAATGCAAAGATCAACATTAATAAGAGGAAATAACAGGGAGAAAGGTGAACCAAAAAAAAACGGACTAAAAGACAGGGAAAAACCCTGTCATAAAAGCACCACAAAATATGTTATCACTTTAAAATTTCACGTTGAACTTGTTTAAAATATTGGATTTAAAAATCATATTATGGGTGAGAAACCACTGTTTGAAGTTTGCATAAGAATCGGTGGATTTAAATCCTCTATTTGAGGAAAAATTGCGCTTGACAAAGATCAAATCGGCCAGTGAAAAATTATGAATGTTTGGCACAAAAGGCTTTGTTGTAATAAAAATTTCCTTTCTTCCTCGATACATTCTATGCTTGAAAATAAACATCAGAACTCAGAAAAAATTATTTCATTTTTAAGCACGCAGATTAATGTGGTGGCCAATTTAATTCAAGTAGACTTTGCGGAAAAGGAACAATTGATTCACTAAGAACATAAAACCCTAACTGCTCCCTTATGAATTAAATCTGGATATTAGTAATAAGTCCATAGGATTGTAGATGTAGTTGTAGTGTTCATGAGTTTGATGAGTTACTAGATAACCTACCCAGTGCCCCTACGTATATGATGAGAATTGAAATTGTAGGACAATAAATGCTAAAAGATCAAACCAAAAATTTTTTTGTGCAGTAAAACTCCAAGTATTTGGGCTCCGGTCATACAGACCTCTAATTATCTGAATCAGTCTGGGACAGCATAAAGATTCAAAAATTGTACAAAGTTGTTGAGACTTTTCATAGAACTTCACTTTTACTTGGACCCTTTCAGAAATCTAAGTTAACGTCAGATCCTAGATGATCATTAGATTGTTGTATCCTAGTTAATCTACGTAAGAGAATGGTCATGGGAAAGTCAGATGACAATACCCTTAAAAACGCTTTACTTGCTGTTTCAACACTAAAAAAGTTTTCACTTACACCCTTTTTTATACATTTACTATACTTTATATCTATAGAACAGTGAATTTTCCAGTGGTACGTGGAGCAGATTCCACAAAAATTGATTATTTGGATATTTAAGTATCCGAATGAGATCTGGTCCTAATACATCTGGTTAATGGAAATTTAATGTGCAGTGCTTAGGAGATCTCATACCTTTCAATTGTTTTGCGATTTGAAGACGAGCACCATATCGAGTGACTCCATAAACGGTTGTCATTACAGTTTGTTTGATCACTTTCCGCCTGATGAAACCATCCAGTTTTATTGCAATATCTACCCCTGCTTCTGCATCTTTCTGCCTCAGTCCTTCAACCTGGTGAGATAAAAATACATTTACTTATAGAAGACGTCTTGATATAGTAACATCATTTGAAACTTGACACCTCAGGGAATAAGGGACTTGAAGCCAGGTCTTTTTTGCCACTCAGCATTGGCATTCAGCAATAACTCATCACTGACCAACTTCCCTGCCTACATCCAACGTGGGTAGGTTTATATTATCTTGAAGTAAATGTGGGTAAGTTTGAAGGGTAGTCAGCCAGATACACAGCCAAAAAGGCAACAAAATGCCAGTTCAGACAATGATGAATTCTTCAGATTAGCCACCCTGCCGCACACTAAAGAGAGAACAAAAATAAGTACAAAAATGCGGTTTTGCAAAAACTGACTTCTTGATTAAGTCTGAGAGCAAAATTTGATTCAAGAAATCCTCTGCTTTGTGTAAAAAGGTCGATAATGATCCTTAATATTCTTTAAAATTATTAAAGCAATTAAGGATTGTTACATTTTAGCTTTAACTGTGAAAACGAGGAAATTACCTTTTTGATGTTGTATTGAAAAAAGCGATTTTTTGATGGCTAATTGAAAGTGTGAAGCCATATACCTCCGTTTATAATGGTTGTAAACTTCCTATCATACTTAATTCTTTTGTTGGAAAAATAGTCACCGTATTTTTTCGAAAACTGCTCTGCGGTTTTGCTTCTCAATAGGCAGAATGGTCTGTACAAATTTTAAGCTATGAAATTGACTTGTTTTTCCTCGAAAAAATAAAAAAGGAGCAGAAATTTTGAGACATCACAATGAAGTTAGGCGGTTTTGAACTTTTGTCATGGATGTGACACATCCTGCGTGCTTACCTGGTGAAGTAACAAAATAATAGAGAAGAGATCAAGAAGAAAGAAAAGAGAATCGGGAGATTAACAACTCAATTTCAAAAATAAGTTAGAAGAGGTGCCAAGGCATTTCAAGACCTTGCAGTTCCTCCTTCTAAGCTGAAAATTCAGCTGAATTTAACAGTCAGAAATTCAAATGGCCGAAATTTTAGCCTTGCAAAAGGGGCCTTGGGGTCCCGAAAAACATCAATGTTTACTTCATTTATTTAAAGAATTGGAGTTTTTTTTTTCTTTCTTATTCATTCAGCTCACATTTGTTGAATTTGAAACAAATGTTGCCTGTATTAAAGCAAAAATTTCATACCAGAGTTGCGACACAACTGTAAACATCCTGTGGCTCGTTGCTGGGAGTCAAATTGACGCTGATACCACCCGCAAGGTCACGACCAAGAGCAGCGTAATGTTGAAGACCATTACATGAGCCATCTTGATGAACAGGAAAATGACAATTGAAATTTTCCGGATCTCCAGAATTTATAGCATCACGTATCGTCATGCAGCAAGCTAAAGTCTGCCAGGGCTTTTCAGATTCCTGCCACCACTTTTTACCCTAGAATAGCATGACCAAAAATTAGGACAAAATTAAAACATTGACTACAATTTCGATAATATCTAGTTAGTCTATTTCAAATAGAAAGCACATGAAAATTGTGTAGTGCGACGGATGGACAATTTGACTTACATCGAATGGTTTGTCTGCAGAATCGATGATATCATCTAGAATTTCATTAGCATAGTCCAATCTATCTTGCATGGGACTTCGCTTCTTTAAACCAGTTAAATTAATACAGTGAATCTAAAAAAAGAGAAAAAACAGGAAATGAGAATAATTACTGGTAAAGAGAGGATTATTATTATGGATTTGATCCGAGAAATGAAGAAATACAGATATATTTTCAAACTTGAGGAATCAAAGATTAGGAGAGTTTTGAGAGAAGATTCGACTTTTCTGAAGTAATTAACAATTTGCTTCTTTTGAAAGAACAGAAATCAGAGTGATCAAAATCAATTTATAGGTAGATTCAAGATTGATAAGGATCAGTTGCCTTAATTCAAAAATTGTTTTTCATTGGAATAGAACCTCTGGTCCTGACTAGTTTTCAATTTTGGAACCGCCAGTACATAAAAGTTTCTCAAGTAATTTGATGATTTACCGCTGTAATAATTGGGAAACTAAACTAGTCCTATCAAGGAACATGCAAAAAAAAGTACAAGACGGGGAAAAGACTGACCTTCAACCAGTCGAGGCCTTTCGGGCCTAGCGGTTCACCTTTTGCAAAGTACAGCATTGCTCTTGCCATATCTGCACCGAGATGATTCAACAAAGGCGCTACAGGATAAACTCTTCCTCGAAAATCCATATTATGAGGCAACCAAAATATTTTGTCTCGGTACTAAAAAAATCACGAAAATATTGATGAAAGTTAGTGGCATTAAATAATTTTTAAAAAGAATGGGTCAGTGGTGCCAATTTCTTTACAATACAATCTCTTTAAGTACAGAGTGAACTAGGCTTCTAGGAATTTTGACAAATACTTTTTTAACCTAACCTAACCCTAAATAGAAAAGAAACCCAGTTTTGAAAATGCCAAAAATTGAATGAGTTTGAAGAATATTTTTAGCGAGCTCTGTTCAAGTAGCCAAGCGCGGAAAATGACATTTGCTGAATCTGGCTTCAGGCATTGCCTAGCTACATCAAAATAAGTTTCCAAACTTTTTAATCATCTTTTTGGTTTTTTCACGAAATTTTACCCGATAAAAAATATCCTACAACCCTGCAAAAATTCCTTGCAACTGCTTCATTTTTGACTTATGGGTTGCTTTTTAAAACGCTTTATCAAAGATATTGTTGGTGATTGAATTGAATGAGTTTTAGTGGATTCAAAAATTCTCTAAAAGCCTACTTAAAGATAGACATCTGCCACAAAATTATTGTTTTATTAAGGTCTGAAAAAATACATGGTTGTTGTTTACAGGGTGACTCTTTGATTACTTATTAATGGTCTTACAGGTATTGTGTTTTACTTACATGATTGGCTAAAGATAGTCGATAGAGGGCATCACATCTTAAACTGTGCAATTCTGCACGTCTACGGGCTATGCTCTGCTTCTCCCTTGAAGCCTTGAATCGTTCAAATTTTGTTGCATTTGCTGATAATGCGTCAGGTGCCTGACATGAAGACGGAGGCTCCGCAATACTTAGTTTATGTGAACCACCAGCATTAAATACTTTAATTATTAAATCAAGAATCTAAAAGCAAGTAAGGAAAATCATATTAAAATATTGTTCAGTGTATAAGAGGAGTCATGAGCATCAACAGTGAACACAACCATTTAATATACAATATAATTGGTGGGTTTCAGTGGAGGTTTTTTTTCTCTTTTTTTAGTAACATACCATTTTCAATAAGTGGTTAAACAAATGATTATCTCCAAAAAAATTTACTGCTTGTCCAAGAATATGGTTGAAGAAAGAATGCGTTTACGCATTGTAAGGAGAGAAGTCTTTAAAAGAAGTCTAACTTTCTTAAATGGAACATCAAGCAAAAATTCCTGTTTTTAAAAGCTACAAGCAAACCCCAATCCCTTAAAATATCCACCAATATACATCTAGTTTTGCTTGAATGGACATAGTTGTGCCATTTAATCTAGATCAAACTTAGCAGGTGAAAACCAACGCAATTACAGGGTTTTCAAAATTACTCAATTTCTTTCTTGCTTTAAAAAGGACTGAACATAAATGTAGGTGCGATAATAAAATTGGCACAGCCGCTTTCCTTTAAAATTAATAATTTTAAGATGAAAAAATGAGCAGAATCAAATATGCTAGTATGGGCATTGGTTACCTCCTGCTGAATTCGATCCATTTGAGCAAATACTTATCGAATCCTAACTTCTAAGATTTCTTGTATTAATAATAGACAAAACATGAGCCTAGTTCATAGGCTATTTCAGTCTGAATGGATAATCCTAAATATTGTGAAAATACGGGTTCATATAATACCAGTAAACACGATTTCTGAAAGCAAGAAGAAATGGATAGATAAAATTCTACTTTTTTTACTCTTGAGTTAAACAATACTTACGGGTTTATTAATGATCCAAGGAACTGAACCAAGTTGATTGAGAGAGTCCAAGGAAGGATACATGTTAACCAGAGGAGTTTCTTGGAGTTTGCGATTACATTGATCAGAATCATGTCCCAGTGGTACTCTAAAAATATTTGAGCGATTAGAGATGCATAGATGAGAGCCACAACCGAGATACACATTTTTACAGTTTCACCATCAGCATAACTATATTGATTATAAGTCTTTAAATTATTGCATAAAATTATGAGTTTATTGGATGATGTACCTCCGAGTTGTGTATAAGAGCCTCATTACAACTGTGAAGTTGCCTAACAAATTATACCGCTGATTGCATCTGAATTAATGATTTATGTTGTGTTTCTTTCAGAGGGCGATTCAATTTTTTTGCTGTCTGGAAATGAAATCAAATTTTCATTGAAGAATTTTCGTTATTTCAAAAAATGTCTTACCATCATTCACAAGAGCAGAACAATGGGTAAGTTTTTGGTTCTGCAGCTTTTGAAGATAAAAAAAAAAACAAGAGGAAAAATCCAACATGAAAATGTTGGGAAAGCGTGCCAAATAACTGAAATGTTGGACACATACCTACTATTTTCACATCTTTGCTAATTGTATCAATTGGTACTTTTTGCTAAATTTGCGAGAAAATATTGATTCATGAACGTTGAATATAAATTAATTTTAAAGATTCCGTCCAATTATCTTGATTTTAAGCTGATATGCGGCATTTACGCACGACCGTGATTTGGGCGAACTGCCATGCATCGAAATCGCGTTAAGTTAATCTCTTTGGATTTCGAGCTGTACTGTAACTTCTCTCTTATTCGGCTGATTTGTACAAATAAGGTCTCTTTTTATTTGCATTTTAACAGAGAGTAAAGAAACACTTGCTACATAGACGGAAAACAATTTTTGTGAAAATTTGGTGGATCCTGGCATGACAGTGAATGGTTAATCGGGCATGAAAGATAAGGTTCGACGGCGGCGAGGCGACCTTTGCCTCACCGTCTTTTATTGCCTTGCTCGAAACCGGACACCCAAAGCGATATCGGGAGATAACTGCTGTGGTTTCAGTGGATTTCTGCAGGGGCCAAGGTTAGCACTTGGTATAATGAGTCACAAGGCTCATCACAGATTGCACTTACAGCGCAAGATGCTTAAAGGCTAAAAAGTTTTGGCGGGAAATAAGCTTCTAGATTTGAGTCCTCCAAGCGTGGAAAAACTTATTTGAGGTTTCTGTCAAATGAAATAATACGGTTTTGACATAAAAATGTTCTCAAGGGTTTCCAATTAGCAGTTCATTCGGTTTTTTCGTAAAAGATCATCAGAGCTTGACAGTATAACGGTTCAGAGACAAAAAAGCAGATCCAAGGAAAAAAATATTTGGACAGCCCGTTGAATAGCATTGGTTGATCGGTGTGCTATACTATGGTACATCCGATGATTTCAAAAAGCGAGCCTTACTGGCACGCTTAAAATTATTTTGTAGGAAGGCATTGTTTTGAGCTCCTCAACATATTACACTTTATTTTTGAACACACCAAACCAGAAAACAAAAATTTCTGGTTCAATGGAAACATGATTTTTAGTGCAGATGAAAAGGAAATTACCTTATCAATGTAGATTTTGCAAGGATATAGCCTCCTTTGTGAACAGTTGTCCAAGGTATTGGTGGTGAAAGCATAGGTACTAGTGACGTATCAAATCTGAGCTCTTCTGGACGTGCTAACTTAACCAAGCGAGAGAGAATTGGATGTGGCTTTATTTCTTGGTGAGCTCGAATCCCATGAGTACGAAATAGAACGAAAAAAGCAGGTTCTACTCGCCTGCAGAGGGCAAGGAAAAATACATGAGTTAGAGACTTCCGACAGACTAGCAGGATCTAAGTTAATTCAGTCATATTCTGAGGGCATGCAGAAAATTAAGAAAATCAGTTTTCTCGAGACTTAATTCTTCACCCTCCTAACAACTTCCACCAGATTATGGGCGTCTTCACAATACTGGCTTACTGCAATGGGGTTATACGAATTCATGGAATCATTTGAAAGGAGGTGGCTGTTACCATAATATTTTGAATATTTGAAAAAAGCATCCAGAACTTAATAATGGGAAAGAGACTCAAGAAAATTTTTTTTTAGCAGCGAATATACTTACAGAGGTCCTTTTGATCCTTTCAATATGTTAACATTGATCTTGATATCTTTTGTGATCACATTGTAAAGAAGGCGTCCAATACTGATGGAAACAGCGCTACTCCATGGATGATCGGGAACCATCTAAAACAAAAAATTCATGATCAAACTTCTGTTAAAGGTGATAGAAAATTAAAGAAAGAATGTTTTTCATGGAATATTCCCTACATTCAAGTCCTTTTTATGTGGTGAAAGGAAAGGAAATTTAATCAGGTCTTGAAATTTGTATCAATAGCAAAAAAAAGTAGGATAAGTCACCACAAAACCTTCCACTGAAAAATGTCTGGTGCACTACAAGTAAAGTAATATAAATTTTTACACATGATTTGTGCAGCCTCAAGAATTAAAAATTAAAGACTTTTCAAGACCTTTTTTGTTGTTTTTTTCTAAATGCTCTTTTTTCTCCCCATTTTGTGAAAACATGTTAGCAAATTTTGGTTCTCTTTGAAAATACTTTGCTATTTCTTTAAAGTGAGAATTTACTGCTGACAGTTATTAAAAAAGAGAAAAAATCAAGCAATTTCAAAGCATTTAAAAAAAATCAAATTTAAACTTTGTTTAGGACTATATGAACCATGTTTTTTTCTGGACCAAAAAAAAGCCGTAAGTCAGTCCATGCCATTGGACGAAAAAATGCATTCATTCTCCGATTAGATAATAAGAATTGCAACTTACAAGATCAGGTCCAGAATTGGCTGCATCATGAACGAGCTGCTGCCATTTTTGTCTCGTGTTGACAAGAGATGCATCTGGATTTAGATACCAATCACAATATGATTTGTACAACTGAAACTGTTTCTCTAGAATGTGTCCTTGTTTCTTCTGTTTGATTAGATACCTGGGTTAAAAATAAAGTTATTTTTTGTTAAACATTAAACATTCATTTGTTAGTACTTAGTATGTCCAGCGGTGAGCATTTAAAAAAAAAATTAGTTACTTTTATTTACAACATAGTATTTACAATGTGAAAGCAGTCACAGGAAAAAGGTTCGAAAGGCCAAAAAGTCAAAATTGAGATATCATTTTATCAGCTAGATAAAGTTTAGCAAAATCGTCATGTCTACATTGCAGAGTTTCAATATCTTATCTATAATGATTTTTTGGAAGGAAACCAACCAAAATTTGAGCTTAATTTTATTGGAAACAACCTCCATATGAGCAAAAATAATTGCAACAATTTTCAAATAGGAATATAAATATATTTTGATGTAAAAAACATTGAAAAGTAATAAAAATATCAAACTAAACTGGGTTAAGAAGCCATTTGAAGGCTACAAAATTACAGAAAGTTTTTTTCACACATTGCCATACATAGGCTGTCCCAAAACAACTGACAGTAAGGCTACCATTCGGGAACTTCAATAGATATCGACATGCGGTTTGTGGGAGGTGGTAGCTCATACTCTTAGCTCTTAAACAAACCCTAGTTTAGCTAGTTTGGTTAAAAACTCAACGAGTTACATCAATTTTTCCGAGACGTGTAAAATATACCACTACAGGATTTTTCGGTAATTTTTCATATCGTTAACTTTGCCTCTGCAAGCTGTGCAATTGGCTCAGACGTTATGAATCAAGTTTCCACTTTGTTTGGATGCAAGTTTGAACTTGTCAGCAAGTGTTTCCATCACAGCTGAGAAGTTTCTTTTTGTTTACAAAGTCAGTTTAGGGAAATTGTCTGGCCTGATAACGCATGTTTTTGTGTTTCGTCATGAGTTCACCCGCGGAGTTGAAGCAAGAACAACGATACGCAATTCGATATTGCGTTCGTCGCGAATGATCTGCTTCTGAAACACTTCTGAGCCACTGTCATTTCATTCACAGTTTCAGAAGCAGATAATTCGGGACGAACGCAATATCGAATTGCGTATCATTGCTTTTGCTTCAACTCTGCGGGTGAACTCATGACAAAACACAAAAACATGCGTTATCAGGCCAGACAATTTCACTAAACTGACTTTGCAAACAGAAAGAAACTTCTCGGCTGTGAAGGAAACACTTGCGGACAAATTCGAACTTGCATAAACTTGATTCATAACGTCTGAGCCAATTGCACAGCTTGCGGAGGCAAAGTTAACGATATGAAAAATTACCGAAAAAATCCTGTAGGGGTATTTTTTACACGTCTCGGAAAAATTGATGTAACTCGTTGAGTTTTTGACCAAGAGCTAAACTAGGGCTCGTTTAAGAGCTAAGAGTATGAGCTACCACCTTCCACAAATCGCATGTCGATATCTATTGAAGTTCCCGAATGGCAGCCTTACTGTCAGTTGTTTTGGGACAGCCTATATAAAATCGTTGTAAAAAAAGATAATTTTTAAACAAATGAGCTTAGAAAGAGCTCATGAGACGGCTAATGATATAGATATAAGCTACGAGATCTTACAGACTATATTCAGTTACCCTTAATAGTCTTCTCTAAACAGGCTAAAACTCAGTTTTTCGGGGGGCCACCTTAGTATAAACATTGAATAAAATAATATGGATTACATTTTGCAATAAGGAACCACTATCTCTGGCTCATCTGTAAAAACACCTTTCTGTACATGGAAACCGATGGTTGTTTCTATAATGAGCCAGAAATAGTGGTTTCTTATTGCAAGATGTGGTCCATATATAGTAAAAATTATCACCAAAGAGCCCAAACAAATGATAGCAAAGGTCACGGCAGAAGTTCTCAGAGTTGAGCTCTTTTTGAAATTATTTAAGAAATTAAAGTGAAATTGTAAGAAGTACCAACCTAAGTTTAACTTGATTTCCTAAATCTTTATACAGGTAGGTTAGGGTTTGGCTGAATACTTCTGATCCTTCCATGAGTTTCTCTACTTCTTGTAATACGACGTCTGCATAAGCCTGTAAGTCTAAAACTCTGAGGTATGGATACAGATTCAACTGGGGAGTGGCAGGAGATTTCAGCATTCTTTTCTCGATTAATTCTAGCATTGATATTTCTCTCAGGAGCCCTCGCTTGATATTTTTCATCCAGCCTTCTTTCAGTTGCGCCACTATTTTTCTCTGAAACAATAAGTAAACAAAAATGTTGGATGGAATTGGATTGTTATTTTTGTAATCATAATGTGTATTTGGATTAAATTTGTCAGAAGGGAGCAACACAGTTAAAGTGTTGTAAACTTCATGCAACTTAATCTTTACCTCAAAAATACCTAACTGCTTAAAGTCTTTCAGTTCTTCTGTCAAAATATTGTTGATTTTAAAAGAAAACTATTCCAATAACTTCATCAAAATACCATGCACTCAATTTTCTTAAAAGCAAAGAAAACATCGCACAATTTTGGCAACACTGTAATTGTGTTTGGTTCTGTTCTGCTAAAGTCGATCCATTCATGAAGTGCAGATAGTATAAGTCAGAGGTAGAAGAAAAAATTTTTGATGGTAGACGTAATTTCTGGAGTAGATAATGCCAAGAATCAGTTTATAACAAGACAAGCTTTGTTCACTTTCCCCGATAGAATTTCGTTAAGACTTATTCATAACAGATTTCCTGGACCAAGCTGTGCATTATGTGCAGTCACATGAATAAAACCGACCTCCAAAATACTTTTATTTCAGAAAAACTAGGGGTTGATTCCTTTGTAATAATTTGCAACAAGCTCAAAACTGACCTTGGTTTTGTCCTTCTATTCACTGATGTTCAGGAAAATTATGGTTTTCCTCCAACAATGGACTTTTTTCCAGGGAATATGAGAACTTCCAGGAAACTATTGCGTGAAAGAGAAAAATCAAATTATACCTGGATTCAGCAGCCAAAAATAAACACAAGCACATGTATTGGGTACCTAAACAATTTTTTCCTGTATCTGACTCCGAGCTCTTTCTGGTCAAGTAGCATAATCCGCCTATGTACCCCCATTCAAAACTGATTTGTTTGTTTTGTGTGCTAAAGGGTAGGAAAATTATTTTATCTAGGTGTCCAGCTTCTATTTCCTGTACACTGCTAAGGCTGAAAATGACCCTAGTTTTTTCCATCGCTCACCAGATTTTTATTTTATTTTTTAATTGCGTTTTCGGAAAACTTAATTACATGAAAAATTGGTGGGCAATGGAGACAACTATGGTCTTCCTTAGCTTTAGCGGTAACAAGTAAGTAGAAGTAGCCCAATTAGACACATGGGTAAAATAATTTCCCTGTTTTTCCAGAGTAAAAATATGAATCAGTTTTACATGAGGATTTGTGGGTGAATTATGCCATTTGACCAAAAAAAAAGCTTGTTATCAGAGACACGTAGGAAAATTTTTTAGGCATGAGATAGATGGGAACTGTATTTTCGACTGCCAAATCCAAAAATGTTCTTTCTCTTCCTCTATCATGCACCGGTTTCCCAGAAAATTAAATATTCCGTCAAAAAATCCTTTTTTGGCACAGAATAAAATTAGCTTCAGTTTTAAAGTGGCGCCTAACAATACTATCTATCTGATATTTTTGGTGAGCTTGATTCAGCACAAATAAAATGGTCTATGCTATAAAATCAACAAATTCCTTTTCTTGAATGAAGTGCTCTAGTAGCAATCGGATGGTATGCCAGTGTCTGAGACAACATTTTTCCTACTCAGCTTTAGGATTTTTCCTGTTACTCGGCTATATTGTCTCTATTTCTCATTTAAGACTGTGCTGTTTCCCAGTTAGCTGCACGCGCTCCGTTTCACCTTTTCTGCTTCATTTCCAGTATTGTTATGGAATCCTTCAACCCCGCAATGTGCCACTCTTCTTCTATGTCTTAAAAAATAGCAAACGTACAACAACATGCATCCCCTCAATACAGGCAGGATTAAATCCTGCTTTAACTTACGTATTTTATTATTTCAGGAGTTTCTTCAACTTCTTCTATTGACTTGATGATGACAGACACACTTGATTCAGCTTTTAACTGCTCTACTGCTAATTTTTTCAAAGATTTCGGTGTAATCAATCCTTCTGCCGGCGACCGGAACGTATTAGCACCCTACAAAATAATACAGATTTTATTGGAATTCAGTAATTTTTTTAACTTCACTACTTCTTTTTAAACAGTTTCTCGCAGTGGTTTACCATTGCTCATTACCCATGTTAGAAAGTTTGGGAGACAAAGCAGTGGATTTATTGGGGCTGAGGCTTAGACCTTGTAAAACTTCATTAAATGCCAAAGTCACGCATTTTCAACCTTCCTTTAAATGCAATTTTTGCGAACTTGAGTGGTTGAGAACATCAATCTGCAAAAACACTTTACAGAAGTTACTATCCCTTCAAAAGACCTTGCCTTGACTATTTGACGACATGGCCTAAGGATTGAATTACTCAAATTCTTGCCACAAAATTAAATCCAAGCCATACGTAAAATAGATTTGTTCTTTCTTAAAACGCTAGATGAGGATGAATCTCAGTTCAATAATGCCCACTTGATCCAAATGGACCTGCTGCAAACTTTTGCTAGAGCAAACATAAGAGTTGTTTCTATCGGTAAATGTCTCAAAAATCACAATGAGCACATTGGTAAAGTTCAAAATGCACTCCTAACTTCACAATCTGCGTAAGAAATTTGCGTTTGATTTAGCTTCCTGCTTCAAAAACGATACTACGGCACAGGTGCACATTTCTTTAGAGATGTCGTTCTATCCAACTCCTGTGCACTAGGATACTACACAATATTAAACATGGCTGATACCAATCCGCCAAAACACATGTGCCTGGACGAGATTCTAAGCATTTGTTAACAACCCAGCGTTTTCTTCGCGTTGATAAAGATCTGCTGTGTTTGACCTTGTACTCCCGATTGCGATTTGCGTGCGGAAGCATCGGCTATGTTGGGTATTGCTATTGCGAAAGGGTTAAATGGAAAGACTCCTCTAAAGAAATGTTCACCTGTGCCGTAGTATCGTTTTTGAAGCAGGGAGCTAAAAAAAACGCAGATTTCTTACGCAGATTGTGAGGTTAGGAGAGCATTTCAAACTTTGCCAGTGCGCTCATCGTGACTTTTGAGACATTTACTGATAGGAACAAATCTTCTTTTTGTTCCAGCAAAAGTTTGCAACGGGCCCATTAATCTCTACAGCTGAAATCTTGCTTAATTGATCATTTTCAAATTCTCTTTCAGTGCTGCTCTTCATTAGTTTAGAAGGGATGGCATGATTCAGACCTTGACCAATGGAAAATGTAATGGAAATGTTAAATTCAGTGATTAAGTAAAAAGAAAGTGAGAAAAATGGATGAAAATATGAGAAGTTTAATTGAAATGAGGACAATTTGAATTTTAAGGAGCTGCAGGACAAAAAGCTACAGAAATACTCACTTCATTTAAATGCTGTAGCAACGGACATGAATAATCTAGGTTAGTTTGTGAAAACTCAGATTGTTTTGGTTCAAAGTCAGGCTTCAGTCGTCTTACAGCATCAAGAACTCTTTGTCGCTGATCATGAGTGTATTCGGTTTTTGTGAATAATTCATCCACAGCTAATCCCTGCAGGAAGAAGGAAAGAAAAAAACAGAGTCACTCAAAGAAGATAACAATGGTGAAACTTCAAAACCTTGTATCTCAGTTTGCGACATTGAAGACTTCCTGTCATATATACTTCTTTGAAAATGTGAAGACTTTATAATGTTAATTCCTAAAAACTTCATTGATTTTTCTTCTCTAAGCAAAGGAAATTCTGTGAAAACTTCAAGGAATGATGTTGATTTGTATGGCTTTAAATCAAATATAATGAGAATATCCCAAACAAGATACTCTGTTTGAATGATTCACCATTGATGAATAATATGCTTATTAAATATAAAGAAATGAGTAAATTAATTATAGGCTCCTTCTCAAAGTATAACCTAACTGTATTCTATTACTCTCCTTTCCAAAACATGGTCAGTTATCTGTTGAAACATCCGGTAAAAATCAAAGTTTGAAACATCCTTAAAATAATTTACTCACATTAATCTATGCTTCTGTCAGACAATTAAGATCCAAGTCCACTTTGATAAAGTCATGGTTTATTCTTGGAGAAATGTGTCAGGTGAATAAATAAAAAAGAGCCATTTTGAATTTTTAAAATTAAAAAAAGGTATTACGCTCTTAATTCCAACAACTTTTATGACTTTCACAAAACATACTTCTCACACTTAGAGTCTCTTTATACCCAGAGTAACGACAACTCGATTATCAGCTGACTGGCAGCCGACCTTGGCTGGCCAAGGAGAACGAAACTAGTGCACTCAAACGAACGATATTGGGGGATAAGGATCAGGAATCCTGCGATGTCTGTCACACAGAAACAACAACATCAACAAATTGATCAATTAAAAAGAAAATGAGATTGGTTTGTGAATAATTTCTTAATCTATTTTCATTTTGGACCGATGGCAATAACAATTTACTCTTGATAAACCACAATTAGGTAATATTTTCATTATTCTTGTTCACATACGAGGTACCGCCATCTTGGTGCACTAGTTTCGGCCTCCATGAGCGAGAACCAATCAGAATTGGATTTTTTTTTAGGCCACTTTCAGCCCAATCCTGGCCCAACCAAAAGTGAGTTGTCGTAACTCTGGGTATAAAGGGACTCTACTCACACTCATTTAAACTAGTCTTTTGCCACCATAGAGTAAAGCAGATGTAAAATTATCTGATACACATTTTAGATGATGATTCATAGACACACCTCAAGCTATGACCTATCCAATCATACCTTAAGCTAAAATGTCTATGGTAAAAGTTAGATAAATGCTACAAAAAGGAAATTGCCACTTACTTCTTTTTCCATCCATTTGAATAAATTTTCTATTTCGGAATCTGTTTCTGGAGTGCGAGGCATTCTACCGATGCAGTCAAAACAGGATGCAAACAGTTGTGGAGTGGGCAGAATGTCAGTTGCCAAAAAGAGATTAATAATTTCTTTCACTCTGATAAAATTATGCTAAAAAAAAGAGAAAATATTGAAGTTGAGAACCAAAATGACTAAAATTAGAAAATTAGGAACCACAAATTTGATGTACCGGCTGGAATGAATATAAAATGCCTTGAAAATCTGTCTCGGTGACTAGCAGGTAAGTATTACGTATTACTTTTTATTTAAAGACAAAAGTTCTTCATCCTGAGACAGGATAAAAATTTGTGGTTTTGGTAGGAAGGAAGTCACTGCGAGGATGCAAAGAGTAAAGCAGCGCAGGCTGTTGCCATGCAGCCACTTAATTTTCAATCTTCACTGTGAAGATGCGGAGCGCCCAGGCTTCGGCAGTCCAATGACGAACAAGATTTTCATTTTCTTCAATTGGAGTAGTTTGACAATGCTCATTAGTCATTCTTATCCTGTTAAATATTTATTTCCCTTCCTTGCGTAGACAGCAATCTTGTTTTCTTCGTTACTCGCTGAATTTTGCTATCATAACTCTTTTTTCCTCAATTTCTTCCATTTTCCTACCTCATCTAATGTACATAATGATGGGAAAAAAAATTAAGAAAAACCAATTAAGAGACTTATCAATTCTGTGGCCCCATTTTGCGAAACAAGCACCAAAGTCTCATGCAGAGCAGGTGACCAGGGATGTAATGAATCCCCTGCCTGACTCCATATGGCATGCAGCAATGCTGCATGCACCATGAACAAGCAGTACAATATAATCATGAGCCTGTTCCTCCAAAGTTATGGCCAAGAACCCTCCATGAAACTTCTCAAAAACATATTTTCTAGCTACCATTCGAACAGTCCCAGGATTGAGAGACACAATGGAGCCAGCTGATAATGCTCCGATCACATCATCATTTTAGCTGATAACCGCCTATATCCGTGTACCCAATGATAATAACTCACCTTCAATGCAAAACCATGAGCTAAGGTTGAAAAGATTTTAGGGTCTGTCAATCTCATAAATTTCTTGCTGTCTTTGCCTGCAAGTTTCATACATTTCACATACGAGGACAACGTCTCCAAGGCTCTGTTTAAGTATTGACAACTCATCTGAAAAAAAAATTGAGGAGTAACAAGAGGTTAAGGAAAGCAAAAAGTGAGTAAAAGGTTCTTTAAAAAAAGGTAGCTCTCCTGAAGCTTGAAATATTTTTTATTTTCAATTGCATCGAATAAGCTGTGTTACAAATTATTGTCTCTTCATTATTTTTTTCTAATTCAGAGATACTTAGAAATAATTTGCAGAATAATGAGCGACCAACTTAAAATTTCTGGTGAGTAGATACAGTTAATAAACATTGATGAAAATTTTGCAAAACAGCATCTCCTGATATAAACTGTGACCTGCTAGATTTAGATGCGATTATGTACAAGCGGGATCGAAGTTCCTGCGTCGAATGGTTTCCCGCAACCCGCCATACATAGCTAAGACGTTCTACCTAGAACGGTTTGCCGCAACCCGCGGTACACACTTATCAACGGCGGCACTGGGGAAATAGTTGCACTCCAGTTCTTGAATAGATAAATACGTTTCCTCACGCATTCTACATCTCCTCCGCTCGCGTTTGGCGTGCTCCTGCGTTGTTGATTAAACCGAGAGATACCCGGAAACTATGACCGTAAATTTTATCGCATAAATCGGCTGCTCGATCCAAAATCGTGTTTGAGAGTTGAGGATGATTCTGTTTCGGCGAGTGTCGCTAAGAAAAGATAGAGACCAGTGGCGTGGCGTGCTTTGCGATGTATCGATTGATCTGCCATTTAAAACAATGGAAAAGGATCGATATAGACAGGGTGTTCGCAACGAACATCTTAATAATCGATTCTTTACCATAGCTTCAAATGGAGAGATGTCGATAGTCGATCATTCACGCCACGCCACTGATAGAGACTGATCGTAGAGAGGGGGAGGGGCGCGCAAGAAATCTTAAGCGCCAACATATTTCAATGAACTGATTTTATTTGATCAGAAGCTGATTAGGCTGTCTGAATTTGCAGCTCTTTTCAAATGTTCAAAATTTTAAAGGACCACTAAACCTTAAACGTTCGAAATTGCGGCCATGATCTTTTTTACATAATAACCATCGAATGCAATCGAAAATATCTAACACCATTATGTAGCATAAATTGGCGTACTCATATATCTTAGGTTTTCTTTTATTTTCTGGGTTTTATTTTAAATTTATTATTTTTATTTTGTTTTAGTCTTCGTTGCCATTACGGATTTGCCGCTTTTATTTTCGAGGGGTAAAAGGTAAAATTGGAATAGGAATTTTAGATTTTCGGCGTTCTTCTTCATATCAAGGGAAAAACTTTGTGAGGTACTTTCCAGTTTTCAGTTTTCGACTTGAGAATTTAAAATGACAAGGGCCAAAAAAAAATCGGCGGAAACTGCGAGTCAATCCGATCCCCCTGCCAAATGTTATCCGCCCAAAGTTTATCTGGGGGATCTGCACCTTTATTTCATAAGCCCTTGTCTCACGATCAAATGAACTCATCAAATAGTCATCAAATGCAAGATGGCGACTGGTTTTCGCGCAAGTCAGCTATCAAAAGTTAGCGGGCCGTCAATGTTGATGAACCCGCCATCTTGCATTTGACGAGTTCATTTGATCTTGAGACGAGGGCATTAGAGTAGGTTCGACGGCTCATGGATAGACCGTTTCTCCTTTTAGAAAGTCCTTAGAAACTCCACATGTGACACTTGAATCTTCATTTGCCCCCACGTGTGGGAGCCACCACGGTCCCCACCGGGGAGGGGGAGGAGTCTAATTCAATAAATTTCATTAAAATGCGAAGAGTCCGAAAGAGCTCCGATCTCCGAGCTACGGAATTAGCATCGAGTCCGAATGCATCTTCTTGAAAATGTAATCGCGGAAGCGGCCTGTAAATTGACGGAGAGGTTGTATTACTCTCAACGCCCTAATCCCCTTTTTTTTCGTTTCAGAGCGGAGGGAAATCAGGAAATTCACCTTAAATGGTGCCCGAAAATCTGCCATACTTGACGAGGGTCCCTTAAGAAACACGACTAGTTATTAGAATACCAGAAATACATGACGACCGCTCACTTTGGGGCCAAAAGTATCAATAAAACCCCCGCTGCCCCTGCACCTTTGAGGGTCAAGGTGTTGTAGTCTTTTTCCGTTGTTCGAGAATCGACGAGGACTTCCACGGATACGGCATTTTCGCAAATGAACTGATGAACGTCCGTGCCGATTCTTTCATTGAAAATGTCGTCCTTTGCCACGGGCCCCTTATTTTCCACGTTGACATAGGAGAGACCCGGTAGCAATCGACTTAATTTATGCTGCCTTCAAGTAATGTCCAACTTGACAAAGACCCTTGAAAAGTTGTGACCTGTCGGAGGACCACAATCCTGGGACTGCCACCCACTTTAGAGACAAAGTTATCTATAAAACCGTCGCTGCCCCTCTGAATTTCCCTCGTGATTCTTTACAAATTCAAGGTTTTGTAGTCTTATTCCATTGCTCAGAGAATCTACGAGGACTGGTCCATCTCCTTAGAGTGGACGGCAGTCCAGAGATTGTGGTTCTTCGACTAGTCGACTCCGACTTATCATGGGTCATCTTCTAGTTGGACATCACTTTAGTCCTTTTCTCTCAGGTCTCACCTTTGTTGGCGTAGAAAATAGGGAAAAGAAATGAGATTTTTTATGTAAAAATGGGGCGAACGATCCTCAGTTCATTTACGAGAGAGCCTTATCCGGCGAAAGCCCTCGTTGATTTTCAGAGCAACGGAATAAGACTACCAAACATTGAATTTGTTAAGAATCAAGAGTGAAATTTATGGGGGCAGCGTGGGTTTTATGGATGATTTCGTCCCTAAGTGGGTGGCAGTCCAGGGATTGCAGTCCTCCGACTAGTCACAACTTTTCAAGGGTCTTCTTCAAGTTTGACATTACTTTCGGGCTTCATTTCAGTCCTTTTCTCCCGGGTCTCTCCTTTGTCGGCGTAGAAAACAAGAGGAGATAGGTAGGGTGTCACTTATTTTTGATATTTGAGGAAAGTTAATAAAATAAGAACGTTTTTTCAAAAAAAATTTATTTACCGACCTCTCAAGCGCCCTAAAGGGCGCACGTGAAAGAACGACCAGTTGAGGCGCGGTACCCACCCTCCGACGCGCCTCTTAGACTCTGCAGTGAACTCGAGCCTCTTGCTGCCGACGTAGGGTTGCGAATAATTCATCCCAGCTGGAAATTAACCTAACCTAACTCTTCGGACCAAAATTTTGGTCATTTCACCGGATCTCTGAGGCTTTGGCCGTAAACTACCATTTTCAGGGGAAAGGTAAATCTGCTTACCGGGCGCGTCTGTGGGTTCGGCTCCTTTTAGCATTGTCGACCCAATTTCGCCGGCTATTCCTGAGGCTTACATCTTTCTTTCTCATACAGACAACTTGACACATGTGTCTACACCTCTTGTTTTCGCTTATTTAACGAAAGGATTAGTCTTCTCGAGGGAAAATATCCAAAACCATCGTTGAAGAGTTGTTTACAACCGTTCAGGACACTGTGTAGCCGGAGCTTTCATGTTTCGATCTCATACTTGTCTTCAGTCCTCTTTTTGGACTCGAGAGTTGGGATCATGTTTTTTTTTTTTTTAAATTTTATGATTACGAACCAAAGGCGTCCCTTACGGCGCTTAATTAAGAGATCGGTAAAAATTTTTTTTAATTTTTTGGAGAATATTTTCCTTATTTTTTACGCACTTCATAGCACGTTTTGAGACCTGGGGAGCTGAAATTTTCTCAAATTTCAAAAATAAGGGACAATGAGGCTGAAATGGGTGGAAATAGGGGGGGACGGCCCTCCACACAATTCTGGTCGGCCCCTTCCAAAAAAAATCAAGAGCCCAAGATACTAATTAGTCTTGAGGTAAAAGGCATAGGGAATGTAATAAAACCTAAGAGTGTTATGTTTTGAATGAACTAAAACCCACAGTAAGATATGCTATGTTTAAAACAAGTCAGCAAAATTTCTGTCATCTGTAATATTTGATTCCATTTAATTTGCCATTGATAAATGGCTCAAAAATTTTCTCGAGACGTTCCAATTTTCAAAAATTTTCCGGGGAGGCCACCCAGTTCCCCCTCAGCCCAAATTCTATATCCCCCTGTGCCTCCTCCCACAGAAAATTCCTCGTTCCGCCCATGTAAGGGCCACACCCCAGGGAGGGGGAGAGATTTGACAAAGTCATTAATATTTTTCCTTCAGATTTTCAGACACTTTTAATACACTTTTAATCTTTTATCAAAGAAAATCCTCTAATAAATTAGAACAGCAATATTGACAAAATTTCCCAGAAATTGGAGATTTTCCAAAGGAAATTTGGCATCGTCTGAAGGCTCATACGGCGGTTTTCCGGCAGTATTAAGCGGTATTTTCAGGGGCGGTCTTTTTAACGGCAATTTGACACCAGTGGCTTTGATTTTGTTAAGTTATTATTTGGCCCACCACACTAATCTGTCTGACCGATTCAGTGCACTGCAGTGGCTGGACGTCCGCGTTGATATCGCGTCGCGCCGATAGCGAGAGACGCGATCTATGCATGGGATTCCTGATTCCCCTGATTGCCGCGCGCCGCGACGACACCTATTTCTGTCCCCCACCAGAAACTCTGTCCGTTCAAGAGCTGGCGCGCAACCCATTCCGCGGGCCGCCGTAGCTGTGTATGCCGGGTTGCGGGAAACCATTCGACGCAGGAACTTCGATCCCGCTTGTACTCTCTGTATATAGAGGAAGCCTTACAAGACTCCATGCGTACAGACTTATAATAAAATTGAAAAGTTTGCTAAATGTACAGAGAGATTGTCAGTTCCGTCATATTCTATACTTTGGGAATGCTGCGATTTTACTGTAAGTTCAGGATTGATGCATTCTTGAAAATATGTGAAAAATATACAAAAAAAAAAATTAAGTAATTCTTGCAATGACTTAACAAAATGAGGCACTTTTGAGACCGAGCTATCATTTGGCGAGCTAAGGCTTCTGTAATCTTGCGGGGAAAAACTAAAATATTAAACCATTACAATTTCTGAATAGTTATGACATTACTCCAACTCATCAGAGTGAAAAACATATTTATAGATTTCATTTTATTCATGTTCATAAAAAAACCACTAACTCTACATCTTTTCTCTCTCCAGATGAGGCTAAGCCACCTGACTTGCAGAGCTTTAAAAAGCAAATTTCTGTTCATTAAATACGTCTCTGTATTAGTGGCTTTCTTCTTTAATTCACAAAGCAATAATATTTTTGGAAAAAAGTTTGGTTACATCATCCCTAACCTTTCTTAATCTCTAGAGTCCTGCTGGTGGAGAAGTTCACTATTCATTCTCTAACCCACATTTGAATGAAAATAGGACGTAATTCTGGGATTGAATAATAATTTTATCTCATGTTTTTTAGTTTTTGAAGACGGAATTTTTTTTTAAAAATCTGCAAATTACCAGATCTCAGGACTAGAGACTTAAATATTCAGCAGGGATTTTTAACAGGACTTTTCTCTAAAGAGTTTGAGGTTTGCTCACTTTATTGTTTTTAACATCATACAAGAAGGTCTGAGAACATGCTACGTCTTCAGTGAGAGTCCCCAAAAATTTGATTTTTGATTCCTGCTTCATAGGGCACTAGATTGTTTGGATGAAGATTTTTAAGAGACACTCGAGGAAATATTGCTCCATACTGGTAAAAGAGGTCCATAAAAATGAACAATGCAAGTGATATTTTTTCGTTAAAGAAATAAATTAGGACCATGAAAATGGTAAATCAACTTACCGACACTTCGATAAAAGAAAGCACATTACGGTTGAAATGTTTTTCTTTCTCTATTCTCCTTAAATTTTCATACTTAGAGATTAAACTACTTAATCCTGTATTTCCTTTGGAACTTTCCCTATAAATACAAAAACCAATTCTTAGATAGCAAAAAAATCATTTTAAAGGAAACAGGAGGAAAGGTTGATAAATTCCTACCAAAAAACAAAACTAATTTCTTTGTCTTTTGATGTTCTACATGATTGAAAAACAGACTTTAACGAAGAGACAATTTTTAATTCAAACAATACAACAAATAAAATATTTTTTAGAGGTAAAAAGATTCTTGCGCACAAAAATTTTGTAAACAATTGCTTCAGATTCTTGAAATACACGGACAAATTTTGGACTTCCAGCAATATTTTTTAACCCATAATTTTTTGTGCAAGGCTAACTCCACATAATCCAGAAATTTAGAGGCAGTAAGTAATCTGAGTCATACCATGACTAATATCCCCACTACTGTGCATCATGTTAAGGAAACTGCTCATAAACAATGACAGTTCTATTTCAGAGTGGAAGACTTACAACCAATAGCTTATAAAAGTTCCTTCTTCAACAGCTGATCATAGTTAAGTTTCATCAATGGCCAAATTTCACTTTGAGATGCGCAAACTTTGATTTAGATACCAAAGTCTGATCTAAGTTGCCCTCAGCATTCAGAAAATAAAAAGAAGGCTTGATGAACCAAAATCCTGAAATACCCAAAAATAAAAAAACAAAAAAAAAACAGGAAACCAATTAAAGCTTAAATTAAAAAAAAGTATAGGGATCATAAATCTCAAAAAGTCTGTTAATATAGAGTGTATAATCTGCAACATAGTGATATTAACTATAATATTAATAAAAAGTTCAGCCCGTTTTTCTGACCTTTTTCCCAAAGGACTTCTCACTGGAAAAATCCGATGGACAGAGAACTTACTTTGCGGATCCTGAGTCTGAGACGTCCTTTTTCTTTTTGGGGGATTTTTTCTTTTTTGGCGATTTTCCTTTTCCATCTGACGGCTCGTTCAGCTTAAATTCGTCAGTGGCCTCTCCTATTGGTGATAGGTCACTTGGATGGAGACCGCAAAAAGCGTGTTCTGCGGACAAGTTAGAGCAGTTCTTATACTTCACAGCATCTGATTCGTTAAGTATATATCCTCCAAATTTCATGTCCATATCATCACAGTATTCTGCTCCAGTGAAACTGTTGTTCAAGAACTCCTCTTCTTTAAATGTTTCATTTTCTTCGGCCATAAGTTCCTCATTTTGCGTAAAAATATCAAGTTGACTGGCTTTCATGTTCTTGATTCGTACCTTCGTCATATTACTGTCATTGTTGCTCACTGAAAATAACCAAAAACCAAACATTAGTAACTAAGTTTGTGTTGAAGCTGAATCTGCACCGATAGAAGAAAAAAAATTCAGGTAAGCATTTTGAGCAGCTTCGAGGATGAAAAATGGTACTGAGTACATGAGCGACACCAACACTCATCAGTTGAATAATAAAAAATTGTAAGATGTTGGGTGCCAGCATAATACAAGAGAAGTTCTTTTTGGAATGGGCGTCACACTGAGACCAGAAAACACATCTCTGCAACATTTTGAGAAATTAAGGCAGCATAACTATGGAAAAACATGGTTATATTTATCTGATGATGTGATTCTATTTGAGCTTGACAGCATCGTAGTAAGTTAATGTGTCCACTACTTTGACAAACAATAGAAAATGCAATCCACCCAAAATTAGACGCCATCATTTCTAAATAATGGTTTATTAATCATGCATCTAGTCAAACAAACAATTGAACAAATTATTAAATGCATGTATTAATTCAGTGAAAGTTGATCTTGTGGAGAAGCTAAAGAGGGCTGTGATTATGAAGTTCACTCATGGTGTGGATAGAATTTTAAGTATGTTAATATGAAGGAGAGAAAAAAAACTGTGTTAAAAAGAGAGATTGGGATACAAACCTTGAAGTAGCTCCGAATAATTTTTCTTCAATTTGCGAGTTTTCTTAGTTTTATTGACGTTATTAAGAATCACAAAATTACTACTTGCAATGGTCGACAATGATCTACGGTCAATAATTTGCACTGTTGGAAGATAGAAAACTTAAATTAACATCAACAACAAAGATATAACTGTAGCAGTCCAGTTAAATAGTAGTTAGAGCAAACGCATCTCACGTTGAGACAAAAGACAAGTATTGTTTAAGTCACCACTCATCAGTAGTGCCATCTGACAGCATGTATTAACCTGTTGGGTGGTGCTGATTCAGCGGTAATCAGAGATTGACATTATTGTCTCAACATACGATACGTCCGCTCTAACGCACAGTTGGACTACAACACAGATGAAAACACCACAGTATGATCCATCCTATTTTAAATGCTGAGTGTTTTTGACTGGATTTTGACAGTTTTAAGGTTGCATTGAATGAATTTTTGACGTATTTTAAATTGTCACATGTCAATGAAGTTCCAAACTTGCTAATTTAAATCAGTAATCTCAATTAGGTAAGTTTGAAGAACAGTTCAGTCATATCTGCGGCCCGATTATTGAAACTATGACAGCCCTATCTGAACTATACAATGTATCGCAATTCGATGTCTTATCGGGCTGCCTTAAACTTTCAATAATCGGCCCACTAGACATGACAAAATTGGGACAAAGTGCCATTTTACGTTTTCATCACCTCTCAGTTGATTTTTTTCTGTTGGTATTGATGCTCAAGCGTTCTAGCCAGATTCCACTTTGCTTAAAGCTTCAACTTCATTTCACCAATTCAAACAACACCATTGACAAGATGGAGGATTAAGTAAGAGAAAAGTTAAATATGACGACACAACCAAGTAGCTACCCATTTTCATGCACAGTTTTAGTTTTCAAATGTCCATCTCTCAGACCAAATGAAATTTAATCTGTGTCAAGTGAAAGTTCAATAAAAATTTGGGCAATGCATATCGACGGTGTAAGTCGGCAATCACATAACTCGTTTGCGGTGTCTGAAAATCTCTGCCTCTATGTTGTTTCTTTAAAGGAGAACAAATTAACATCATTCCTTGAAGTTTTTGCAGAATTTTCTTCGCACAGAGAAGAAAAGTCACGGCAGTTTTAAGGAATAGCTGTTGAGTAGTTTTCCGTTTGGAAAATAAAGTATGACAGAAAGTCTGCGGTGTTGCAAACCAAGTTATGTGATTGCCGACTTGCACCATCGATATGAACCTTATTCATAAGCTTTGCGAAGGACGATGGAACTAATGAATGAGCTCATCAGGAGGGAGTTATGGGTATTCGTTACTCTTCATAAGAAAACGAGATCATTACTTTGGAAAAGGGAGTTTTGATATGGAATGAAATTAAAAACTTTAATCCGAATTACCTGCAGCCAGGAGCTGCGTGTGCCTCTGCTTGCAGAAGAAACATGCTTGATTGGGACTTTGCTTTGGGTAAAAATGAGAAACAGGAAAACTATTGGCCACTTTGCCGCACGTATGGCCCACGAGTCGATGCATGGCGCGACTGAATTACTAGACATCAACTAAAAGAACAGAAAAGCACTGAAATATAAAGACTGGACATTTTTAATTGCTTTCCTATCACCGCACGAGTTCGAGAAGGGTGTTTTGAATTTTGATGGAAATTTTGAGGTTATGTCAATGTTATCCATAGAACAGACTTACAAGAAGAGTACAGACACCACTTCAAGCTGATGATACTGACCACGACACTAGCGCTGGAAACGGAGGCATCACAACCGCGGGAAATTTAAAAAGTCGGCCCCTTTACCGCGCAATGGAGGGGGGGGGGTATTATTCCCTCTATTGTCAAAGGAAATATGTAGAGAGAAAAAAAGAAGAAGGATAAGGAACTAAATAGAAAGAAAGAGTTAATAGTTTGAAATGAAATTACTATGAATGACGCCAAAAATTCTACAACTTACATTCTATTAGATTTAGCTCTTGATTACGTAGCTAGATTATTTTTCCTGAGGGGAGGGGGGGCGACCTTCTTTATCGTCACATTCCGGCCAAAGTATCACAAAACAAACGTCATGCGACGTTTAAAAATTGCCGCTGCCATTTTATTTTTTTACAGAGAAATTTTTTAACGAAGCTGTCCGAAAATTTTACTAAATTTTCTTTGTGCCGTCGATAAAATTTGGTGAAATATTCAAACGGATTGTGGGCGCGACTGAGGGCGCGAGGCGCCCTCCCGGGGGTTGGGCCGCGTAGCGGTCAGGGGGCAGGGCCCCCTAGTACATACCTAATACAGTAATTGAGTTAAAGCCACTACAAAAATACTTGCCAAGAGGTTTAACCTCGTGCGGCAAAAGTAGTAAACCATAAACATTTTATATCAAGAATAAAAGAAATCATATCAGACGATTGGCACCACTGCCTACTTAGCTCAGTCTCAGGCCCGCCACATCCCATCTCGGGCCCTGGTACCAATTTTCTGGCCCGGGCCCCTAGCTCAGGGGGGAGGGGGGGGGTCCGAAGGGCCTCCCCCGGGAAATTTTTGAAATTTTAAATCTATTTGGACGCATTATGAAGCTCTCATGATGGAGATTTTCCATCAATTTCTGCAGAATAATTACGCCTTTTTGTTTACTTTCAGCACCAAAAACTTTCGAATTGTTGCATTCAAAACATCTATAAATTTTTTTTTGAGGGGGCAGACGATAATTTTCAATTCTATGGGGAGCCGGGCCCCCCTAGACTCCCCTTTCGTACGTCTATGGCAAGGGAGTTAAGCCATTGAAGTCGAGGATGCCCAGAAAGGAGCCTCTTAGCATCCGACAACGGAAGAAAATGAAACACAGTTACTAAAAATATCATTCTACATATACTCAAAATCTTGAAAATCTCTAAAAAAGTAAGAAAAATTTTATAGTGCCCTAGCGTGTTGTTGAAACTTTATTCACCTTTTGCGGAATTTTTAGGGTAATTTTTTCACTTTTCCCTACGAGACAAGGGTTACACATGAATTCGTAGTGGTTTGTCACCTGCGTCACGGGCCCCTCCAGGGCCCGGGCCCCGGTACCAGGGACCCAGTATCCCCCCCCCCCTTGTGGCGGGCCTGCTCAGTCTTATATGTAATTAATTTAACTTGGTGACAATATAGGTAGAGTGAAAAACAAAAAAGAAGAAGAAAAAAAGAAAAAACTAAAATTTAAGACCCTAATTACTGCTATTTCAGAAATGGAGGTATGGCGCTTGTGAGACTATGACCAGCAAGCCCTGACTTAGGGTAGGGCTAGCCCATAGAGAAAAAAAGGGGCTAGCCCATAGAGAAAAAAAAGGGGGCTAGCCCATAGAGAAAAAAAGGGGGCTAGCCCATAGAGAAAAAAAAGGGGGCTAGCCGTGCGGCCGCACAGAGCGCCGAAAGCGCTCGCGCTCTAGACCCCCCCCCCCCCCCCCCATTCTCATCCCTCACTTTTTTTAATGACTAAAAATATTTGCTTTATTGTTGATTTGTTACGATCAAAATGCATCTTCATAAAAGGCACCTTTCGGCGCACCTCCCTCTTCTGTCAGTGCCGTGGGCGCTTTTTTTCTTTTCTTTATTTTGTGAAATCAATGAAATATTTTGCTGGACAAACAAGAGCATTATATACAACGGTCCAAGTAATGGTAATCACAGGGAAATGTAGTCACGATGTTCCGTTTTTGCAAGTGTGCTCTCGAAGACTTATTTTTTAAAACTAAGTAATCAAATTTTGTGCAAAAATATTAGCTCGAACCAGTGCCATACACATTTGAACTTACATATGCGATTTCCACGGAACTACATTTTCACTTTTGCACACGCCCTTGTTCCAAAGAACTCCTCAATTAATTACACAGATTAATTATCGTGCCTCCAGTCTTTGCCCAGAAAGAAAGCACAGTAAATTCGGCAACAGGGAGAGGCGGACTTCTTCCATCTTACCTCTCTCCTTCCTCAACCGAACTCTCTTTCTTCGAGTGAACACAGAGCAGTAAAAGCGGTAAAATCTAAATTGCTTATCAGTCTTTCTTGCTGAGACAAGGCAATGAATTGGAGGGAGAGAGAGAATCTGCCAAAATCCAAATCAGAAGAATTACGCGCCAATACCAAGGAGGAGGAAGGGGAAGGCGGCCTCTATCTGCCTTCAAGCTACCCGACCACCTGAGGGCTTTCCGCGCACCACCCCCCTCCACCATTGACCATGCAGCATGCAGTTGTCAGAGCGTCAGTCGGTCTCCTCCAGGTTACAACGTGTTACGCGGCGTGTCGGTTCAGTTCTCTATCATGTCACCCTTTCCCGGATAGTTTATAAGAGCTGTCAAAACTCATTTGTCTGTTAGAACATTCAATCCGATTCTATTTCGCAGCAGTAGTTCGATTTCTAATAGTTTCTTCGAAGTTTTGCGTAAACTTCAGACGGTTTCGAACTTGACAAGAAGCATTTTCGGTGAATACGGCGCGACGCGAACGCATCTATCCATCTTCTCTCGTCGGTTGAAGTTATTCGTTTTCGCGTTTGAGTGCGAGCTTTTCCGTGTTATGAAGCACGAGGATTTTCGTGAATCGTGAATCGAATTTTCGGTAGTTCGTGCGTATTTGTTACTCAAGGAACTTTCACATCGTTCAAGTCGGCGTGAGCAGAGATTTTGTTCAATCGGGTAGCTCCTGGTCAGGTCTGAAAATCTGAATTTACTTTCTCCTGATTTCAATTCTGTCCAACTATGATGCGTCCTTCCATATTAATTGTCACTGTTCACTGTTATCTTGTAATTTGATTATTATTTCCTGAGTTCTTTTTACCAAAATTGTCTTGTGTTGCCTACATTAGGCAGTCTTTTCAAACTGGAAAACATCAGTTTGGCCTTGCTTACTGGCTTTTTGAGGAAAGACGTCATATTGAACATACGAGAATTTTTAACTAGAAATGTAAGTAAATCTAGGAAAAATCATGAATGATTTTCTCAAAGTTTTCAGGCACGGAGATTAAATTACGAGTAACGTTCTTTGAAGAATTCAGTGTATCAAGTTCATATATCTACAGTCCAGAAATTTCGTAAATTAATATTATCGGGGCAAATTTTTCAACAGAATGTTCATTTGGCGTTTTTCCTCCCCTCTCAGCACGGCAGTGTGTGCCGTAGTTTTTCGGATTTTTTTTTCGTTTCTATTTTCTTTTTTCTTTCAAACTTTACTTATTCCTATTCATCTGTCCTGCCTTACCCACTCATACGAAAATGTGCCCCAGGCTGATCCATTGATTTGCCTTGTTTAGGTTTCAGGGGTATCATCCAAAATGATGGGATATTCGGGTTTTATTGTGAGTGTAAACTGTGATGTCTGGATTTTCCCTATTTTTTCATCTGGTAATTTCATGACAGGTGCCCCATATTTATTTGGTATTCCAGCTAGGAGGCGCCCCCCCCCCCCAATGGAAGTGCAAATTTATTGGTAATTTTAAGCTTTTATTAAGAATCTTTTAAGGGCTCTCATGGATTTCTTGTTGAGAATTTTTTTCAAGTGCATAATTTTTAGACCATTCTGGCCCAAGTCAAATTTATTATTTAAACCGGACTGCATCTTGCAATTAGGACCTACAATTTATGGCTCACGTGAGGAAAAACGTAAGAACCATTCGTTTCTACATGTACCTACGTATACGTGTTTATTACGGCTGAGCTAAAAATTGTAGCTCCTATAATTGCAAAATAAAGTCCAACGGATCCAACCAGAACAATTATGAGGTGAAACCGTCTGTCCACAAAAATGAGGGCAGATATATTTAGTGTTAGAATGAACTTGTCCCATAATTTGGACGTAAAATTTTGATTTTGATTAATTCTTTTGATTCACAACCTAAGTATCTTCGAATAATTAGGTGTGCTGGAAAGTATATCTCTTCTATTGTAGTTAACTTGTAGCTGTAGAATTGCAAATTTTATGTAAAAGTCTCTGCACCATACAGGCTATCCCTCCCCCCCCACATACACACACACACACTCATTGCATTTTTAGCTCTGTCAAAAATTCAGAGCTCCATTTACTGCCTCTTTCATCGAGAATTTGTTTAAAAAATTGATAGGTACCTAGGAGAGGAGAGTGGAATGAACGTTCAATTGAAACTCGATTATTTTTGTCTCTATCATTGGTCTAAGATTGGTCTGCTAAGTTTTATTTCTGCTTTCTCGTGCCTGTGTCGGGTAAAATTGACGAAAAGCTGAAGGCACCTCTTGGGTTTTTGACAGAGGCGGCGACAGGGCGGGCGAGATACCCCACCGGATGTCTGGTCGTCTGTCTGCTAGTCCGGCAGGTAGATAAGGAACATTTCGATCGAGGTCCGAGCGATTTCAGCTCATTTCATTCTGTTTCTCTCACTCTGTTCTTGCGACAGTTCGGTTTTCTCTGTGGTGGTCTGCCGAATCACTTCCTCCACGTCAATCAATCTCGTAGGTACTCCCCCTCCCCCCTTACACTCCAAATGTTTTCTCGAAGAGAGTTCTAGAAAATTCTCACTTCTCTTGCTTAGGAGCGGTATCCTTTCTTCGTTCCCCGCCACCCAAAATTCTCGACGCTTTGTAAGTATCAGACCCATGAGAGATAGAGAGAGTTGAAAGGGGAGAGAAGTGAAGTGACGAAAACTCTCCGAATGTTCAAAGTGA